GTTGTTCTGGACTTACAGGACTTCACACCTATGCGACTGGGGTCAGCAGTGGGCGTGTGTGTTGATGGGGATATTAAGGCCTCCTTGTAGTCCACCATATGGCTTCCAGTGTCTGTATCACTCGCAGCAAGCTGGTGGTACTTCATTACGATGTGCGGACCTTGGTAAGGATGCACATGGGCTGGTTTTGTGGTGGATGCATGGTGGATAGATGGGTGGGTGAAACGGTTGGTGGGGTGGTGTGAACCGTAGTGATGAGATCGCTGCATATTCAAGTACATTCCTGGGTTCGAATCCAAAATGTGCGAAACAGAGCCTCAACCACTCACTTTACCAGTTACTGTTGCCATAATTACAAAAAGGCAATGTCTCAGTTTCAAACAGGGCTCTAATCACAATGCCTGCACTAGACATGGCTGCCACTAATCGCAGTGCCTGCACTAGACATGGCTGCCACTAATCGCAGTGCCTGCACGAGACATGGCTGCCACTAATCACAATGCCTGCACTAGACATGGCTACCACTAATCACAATGCCTGCACTAGACATGGCTGCCACTAATCACAATGCCTGCACTAGCCATGGACTACCACTGCCCATCTGTGTGGACCTGTCATTGATCATATTGAGAGTGACCTGTGCAGACCAGCCAATGTCCGCGTGCAAAAGGTACAGTCAAGGCTCATGTACCAGTCGACTCTGTACAGGTGAGGTGAGGTGAGGTGAAATTGGGGTTAACGTCGCGGCCAAGATTATTGTACTTATATGGCCACGTGCATGCACGTGTCTGTGTCTGTGTGTGGCTGCTTGTACAAGTCCGGACTAATGCCAATTTATAGTGCTAGCTCACTGAGATACCATGCCCCAGTTGAACAAGAATACCCCACTCAGACACAGTATACTGACCCCGAGCCGACCAGCAGACAGGGTAACAACAAGGCCAATCTTTTAACGTCTTTTGGTATGACGCGGCCAGGGATCGAACCCCGGACCTTCCGCTCTCCGGGCGGACGCTCTACCACTAGACCACGGAGGCGGTCCGACTCTGTACAAGTGAAGAAGGTAGCAAGTACTGCAGAGTCATTATTTCAAGACATTTGGTGAATCACGCATGACGCATCTCTAAACACATCAGCTGATATTGCTCGTACTCCACACAACACGACGTGAACACTGGCCCCTGTCTCACTTCAGATACACTGTACAGCACTGTTGTTTCTAATGGTTGGAATGTCTATCATACGTTTGCAATTGTCATCAGCAGGAGGTATATTGGGTCAGTCAGTAAGTAAGTTTGTAAGTCAGTATGTATCAGTTTCCGTTCTTCTTCCATCCTTGTCAAACAGCCAGACTGAGCTTCAGCGCTACGTTGTGTTTTCAACTCGCACGTGAACATGTTGGCTGACAAGAGACGGCGTGTTGCCCGCTAAAAGATGGTGGTCAGGTCAGGTGACATTGCTTACGTTTGCTTGCTTTGTATTATTCGGAGCATATTTTTTTATTGAAACATAAATCAAGTTTTGACATGTGGGCAATAGGCACTGTTTATATAACCTATACGGTAGTTTTCCGAATGGATAACTAGTTTTAGTGGTAATTGCTCATTCTTTCGTCGAACACCCGGTGTCATTTGATTTCACAGACCACACACAGGACCTGGTATTGTTTGGTCACACAAAGGTCATGTTGTCATTTGTATACGTCCAACAATGCTGGCATGTGAAAAAGTACGTTTGGGGGTTATCTACGTATACAGGCAGTCGTGACATATAGCAGGAATAGTGCTGAATGCAGCAGTAAACGACACTCAATCACTCAGATCAAGTCCAGGTGCCTCGTGGAAGACATTGTGTCATGGAGGCTTGTTTCATGTCTGTCGGAATGTGTGCGTCTTTCGCAATATAATTTGCTGTGTAATTTGTCCCCAGGTTGGAGAAGTCAGTGTCGCTCCTATAACAGAATTAACTCAAGATTTCTTGAATAACGAACGAGTTGCAAGGAATGGCGGATTATCTATCCTGAGTGAATGAATGGAATTAATCCCGATCCTTTGATGAGAGACGTACAGCATTCATTCACGAGGAGCAGATGCTTCGTAATGCCGATTTTCTAGTATGTTATGATTCTATATATTAGTCATTGACATTTTAAAAGAGATAAAGAAAAAAATGTAGAAAACGTCAGCCCAAAGGAGAAACTTCATTGAAGGTAGCCTATTGTTCAGAAGACGATTTCTTAACAATGGATGACGTCATGTCATGTTTTTCTCATCAATGTTGCATTGTGACGTCATATGGGATTAATTGACCAATCAGTATTGAGAATCGATAAAATGCACATGTGCAAATACCCTTATGGGTAATATATTTCTTGAACTTCCTAACACCACTGCCGTTATATGTACAATAATTAAATTTTCGTTGTGTTCATTGAAATTCCTGTATTCTGATTAGCTGAATTGGTCACGTGTTATTGCATTCATCTCCCAATGAATGTAAAAAATTAAGCCACGCCCACCGAGGCGCACTACTTTTATTACTTCGGAATGTCGGGGAATCCCAATATTACAGCCGAGGGATCCCTTTCTGCTCACGTGTATCGTCATGCACAGGACATTTAGCGACTTTCATGCATATTCATTGTCCAAACAAACCTTTGAAACTGAAGGCCGAGAATGAATCAGACAGCAAACGTGCAGGCTCGCTCGACTGTTTTTGTTTCTGCTCGCCTCGGTTCAACTTTCATGACTTCGGGTTTCCTTTCTAACTAGCATTTTTCCAACTGTGTTTTACCGTAATCAGGGAAGTAATGTTTGAATCTGGCGGTAACTGACCATGTAATTTGAAACAGCCGCCTTAAAAAAATTCTCCCGGACACATTTCTTCCGGTTCGTTACAGTCTGACTGTTGCAGTTCTTTTCGCCACTTGTCTTAACTGACAGGTCCAATGAACATTGTTTTGATCCTGCTCTCCGTTGATTGGCTACTGACAGTGTAGGCGTGTCAATTTATGTGCATTAATTAAACAATCACCTGATTCATGCACGCCACAGTATGTATTCCTACACCTGGAATGTTTGTCAATGTCGTCATTTTTGTCTGTTTTGATATATACAACTGTTTTTGGTTAAACTATTGTAGATAAAACATGTTTTATGTTGTCGAATTTAATTATAAGCATTGACTGTGTACGCGGATTCATACAGTTTGCACATTGGTTTTTCGATTCATACCTCAATGAACCGAAAAAAATACACAGTCAATGCTTAATTGTATCAAGTCTGAAGCCACTACATATCCAGGACTTCCTTCTTGACTTAAAGTCCCTTTTGATTTTGAGTAAGCTAATATTTGTTCAAAGTTAATTATAGCATATGTGTTTATGACGTGACTTTCAAGCGGGTCGTGTGGATTTCCAGATAAGAGGTGCCCGCTGTGGTAACTGCTTTTGCTGACGAAGCAGCTTAGTTGAAGATTGGGAAAACCCTGTCGCGTCATAATCATTTCTGATACTGCGCCACTTTTAATACTTTCTTCCCGGCAACACGGATTACCAAAGAATTTGTGACTAAAATCTCTATGAACATAGATTAAACACTTCCGACTTTGCAACTTTTATCAATTTGAAGTTCAATGTATCTTTGTTAGATATACATAATGTCTTTATTCAACGTGACATACGTCGTTTGATGTTATCGCGTACCGTTGAAATCTGTCTGTCTGTCTGTCTGTCTGTCTGTCTGTCTCTCTCTCTCTCTCTCTCTCTCTCTCTCGTGTGTGTGTGTGTCTGTTTGTGTGTGTTTATTTTTCTGTGTGTTTGTGTGTCTGAATGTGTGTGTTTGTGCGTGAGTGTTTGTGTGTCTCTGTGTGTATGTCTGTGTGTGCCTGTGTGTATCTGTCTGTGTGTATGTCTGTGTGTGCCTGTGTGTGTCTGTCTGTGTGTCTGTGTGTGTGTGTGTAGTGACAAAGCGAAGCAGTCAAGTAGTAAAGCTGATACTCCCTCATGGTGATATATAAGTCTTCAGTTTCAAGTATCGATGATTTAGAGTATCTAAGTAATAATTGTATCGAGAAGAAATCTGTGGACAAATATTACAACGCATGTGCGTCTGTAGAGAGATATCAGTACAAAGCTCTACACGTCACACACAGACACTTGCTCCTTGTTCTAGCGACTTCCACGCCAGCTGACAATAACAGGGTCTGGTCACCTCTTTAAGTACATGCTGATGGTACATTCGTCACCACTCGCCCCTTTCCGTAACCTGCTATTCGGCTTGTCCCGGAATAACACGAGTTTGGTCAGGAATGGCTGATGGTAGTTCCAGATAGGACCAGTCAATTGGTATCCGTGTATTGAGTACTATGTAACAGTGTGTATTGACAAAGTGAACAATATCTTATAATTTACGGTGATTTTGGCATTGGACATTTTCATGATTTCAGCAATTTTTATCACGACATTCTTCTATAACATCACCTAATTGAAATATAGCTTAGGACACTGTGCATGGCAATCAGGCAATATAGCAGAAAACGAACCAGTATGAACCCTGATTAACAGCAACGTATGCTGTGCATAATGAACATTGATTGTTGTATAACATGTCAGAGAATAGGCCGTGCCAGGCAGCAGTACTCAGCTCCACCCGTTTACATGTCTGACTGCAACATCATGTATGGGGATAGTGATGCAGATGCAAAATATATGTTACTTTTTACGTTGAACTGCTTTGAAATGTGCTTATTAGGGCCCAGGCACGTGTAGTCACATCAGTGTTACTGTCTGTAGATCTGTGAAGGGGGAATGTCGCCTGCTGTTTCCTGGGTCCTCGGTATTAGACATCTGCACCGTGTCCTTTGTGAGAACACTCTTCAGGCGTGCTCCACATCCATAAATTTAAAACATCGTGTTTTCGGCTATTTCATTCCGCAGCGGTTTGCCATCCAAAAATAATTAGTTTCATATTGCGTTTCAATATTGATTTTTAAAATCCTAGGATGATGGTCCTACGTTCTGACGCAGCGGTCTCAGCTTGAAAGAAACTGCCGTTGGAATAAGCGGACCGAATAACCTATATACCTCAATTCTCCCGTGTCTCCAGGTCTACAGCGTGCCAAAGAACAGCCTTATCCACCCGATATCCTCTCACTGCTATACACCCCTGCTCCACACATAGCGCCCCATATTACCGGGTAGATATAGGAGACAGCGGACTACAAACGGGAGCGTCGTCATCGGGTAGGTGTGATATGGTGAATATATAGTTAGAGTCATACAACGTATTATAAACCATTCGAGTTTCGGGTGGTTTTGCCTTTCCTTAGCCGTATAGATCGGGTTGGACTGACACGAGAACTGAGTAGGTTGAAATCTGTTGTATGTTGACGAAACGGTGTTAAACATTCCTGACAGTAGCGTTTATTTGTCTAAAGAGACAAGTATTTGAGTTACAACGCCGGCAGTGTTCTTACAAGAATTATATGTCACGCTGTATTTCTTGTCGCGTTCTTGTCTGTTTGTAGTGAGTATGGTTTTACGCCGCTTTTAGCAATATTCAAGCAATATCACGGCGGGGGACACCAGAAATGGGCTTCACACATTGTACCCATGTAGGGAATCGAACCTGGCTCTTCGGCGTGGCGTGCGAACGCTTTAACCACTAGGCTACCCGACCGCCCCTGTCTGTTTGTAATTCATGATTTTCCTTTTACTTGTTTCCCTATTTTTAACACTCAGTCAGAAATATCACTGCATGATTCAGTGTTCACCACCTTTTGAGAGGAACAGCAGGCCCTGTGTACGACGAATTCAGCAGCAGGGAATATGGGGTGTGATTTAATAATCATGCATGCATATTACTTAAGACTAAGAATCTGAGGAATTTTGGAAATCTAAAAAAATCTCTAATTCTGTAGCAATGTACCAATAAACTCATCGGTAATACGACCTCCCTCTCCCCACCCCGATACACCCCACCCACCCACCCCACTCCCTGGCCCCCTGGTATGCCTGTGTTGCAGTGAGGAGTAGGTCTTTACACACGCGTCCCCACCCCCAGCCCACCCCTGAGCTTGTTACATACCGAGCGGGAGGCGATACCCCGCCATGTCCCAAGCGGCGGCGTGATTTTGTCAGTGAAGGACTTAAGTCGGACAATCGCAATGTTCAACATGCCGTTACTTCTTTAGCTCGAGCTTACTGGACTACATCGAACAAAATGAGTGATTATGAAATGGTTGCGTTTGAAACCATCTTGTATCTGATACCACCACCCACACTGACAGCCCCAGAATGGGTAATGGGTGGGGTGGGGTGGGGGTGGGTGGGGTGGGGTGACTGGGGCGTGTGTTGTAGGTGGAGCATCTGAGTTCACCATGCCCACTTCTCGCTGAATCCTGCTGTAAAGGACACTAGGGCGTGGTTTGTAGATGGAGCATCTGAGATCACCACGCCCAGTTCAGTTCAGGCTGATTCCTGCTGTAAAGGGCAATGTGTGTGTGTGGGGGGGGGGGGCTTATAGGTGGAGCATCTGATATCACCACGCCTACTTCAGGCTGAATCCTGCTGTAGGGGACAATGGGGGTCATGGTTTGTGGATGGAACATTTAAGATCACCAGGCCCACTTCTCGCTGCTATTAGTTAACGCTGTTTAGTACAGAGTGACGTGACATTGCGAGACTTCATATCGAAGAAACACGCACATGTATGAACTCTAAGTGTTGTTAGAGCCTGAGGTCAGATTAACACAGTTATTACATGTTCTTTATCATGTGAGGTGCGAGTTGTCATATCACTGGAGCTCCTCGTGTTTTTTACTCGTATTAAGTATTCAAATACAGTGAAGTACGTTTATAACGAACACGCTTATAACGAACTGACGGATATAACGAACCGATTTTTTGTCCCGACTATTTGCTATAGTTATGATGTATATATGCTTATAACGAACTACGGTTATAACAAACTAAAGTTAGTGGCCCCTTTGAGTTCGTTATAACCGTAGTTTACTGTAGGTTGACAGTGAAGGTTCAGGTAACGGTACACAGATCACCTCCAATAATTCTTTTTCAGCTGATTTGTAGTCGAAAGTTGAGTACAACTGGAAAACAGTTTTTTATGTAGTTTTGACCTTGACTGAGTGAGTAAGTATGATTTTACGCCGCTTTCTGGGACACCAGAAATTGGCTTCACACATTGTACCCATGCCGGGAATCGAACGCGGGTCTTCGGCGTGACGAGCGAACGCTTTTACCACTAGGCTACCTGACTGCCCGACCTTGACTGAGGATACCATTGAAGCGGACGTGGCACGGCGGTATTGCTCTCCTGTCGCGCTCTGGGTCCCCTTCCATAAAGCTATCTCTGTGCTCAGGTGACTGTAACTCCTATACTTTAACATAGACCTACGACAATCATGGTGCTGATGTTGCCTGGTGGAATGAGGCCCTGGTTAACACGGGGAAGTCAGGGACTACACGAACTGTATTGCAATGTCGGCCGTGTTGAGAGTTGTATAATGCGCGTTGTATTTATCTTAATCCATTTGTTTTCCCGAACGTGTATACCAGGCCTTCTAATTCACAGATACTGAGGGATACTGTAATGTCGGGTGAGATTAGAGTTTTTTTCATTATCAGAATCAGGACCGGTTCGCATCGCGACCTCAGCGCAACCACTGACGTAACTCTCATACTTTAATATAGCGCCACGAATGTCGTAACTCCCAAACCTTATCATAGCTCTACGACTGCCGTAATTCTCCATTCTAAAATAGTTTTTCGGTTGTCGTAACTCCCAGAGTTTATCATAGACCTACGACTGACGTAAACCCATACCTTCACATAATTTCCGGACTGTCGTAAATTCCAAACCATAACATAGCGCTACGAATGTCGTAATTTCGCAAATCGTAGCTTTAGCATAGCTTTACGACAGACGAAATTCCCGTACCTTAACATAGAGCTACGACTGACGTTCGTAGTTCCCTACCTTACGAATGTTGTTAATCCCAAATCTTAACATAACGCTACGACTGACATAACTCCCACGACACAACATAGCTTTACGACTTACATAACTCCCGTACCTTATAAATATTGTAAATCCAAAACCTAAACATAACGCTATAAGTATCGTGATTCCCATACTAACAGTCATCTTTACGACTGACGTAACTCCCGAACCGTAACATAGCGCTACGACGTTACTCCCGTGATACACCATAACGCAATGACAGGTAGGTCTTAGAAGATCACATCGCGCAGAATCTTTTGACGCGACTAAGATATAGCGATTTACTCCTTAAGTGACAGGTTTGTGAAATACGATGATCTGTGAGTTCGTTATCGCCGAGAAGATATAGCTAGGACTGAACCCGAAGGATACATGAATACGCCGTGTCAAGCAGACACATCAAGTAGACATGAACTGAACCGGCTCTGACACGAGGTCCGATGTTGGTACGATGTACAGAAATATGAGCCCAGCTGTTAGCATGAAACATGTCCCACAAGTTCATTATTTTCAAATTAAATCTACTTATTTCTCTAAATGTTCACGTTTTTGGTATGTACGGTGTGACCGCATGAGCAGAATTCGCGGTTCGTGGAGCAGGATACGCTGACCTTTTCACGAACACCCGGTACCATCACCATTTGATAATGATTCATAAACACGTGCTTATGAGAAAGTGGGAATCTAACAATCGAATCTGCTTTTGGCAGAGGCTTCTCATGAATATGGAAAGGGTTTTGTCGCTTTTATTGTACGGCGTTGCCTCATGACGATGACTCTTGTTTCGTGACTCCGCTCATATGGCGTTCGTACCTTATGGCCAATTTCCCTTTATGTTCAGCACTAGACAGACCAGGTAAAGACACAATTACTTTATGTGGGAAAATTACCTGCACTGACGCATTTATGTTTCTTAGATTGAAGATCAATGTCCCGTGTTCGGGCGGTAAAATTATTGTCCTGTACATGAAAGGTTTCGCACTGTTTCCTCACTGACCTTACATGACAGCTATCATGTTGAGTGAGTGAGTGAGTTGGGTTTAACGCCGCTTTTAACAGTATCACAGTTATATCGCGGCGTATCAGCTTAATGTGGGAGGAAAGCCCGAAGCGATGCAGTTCTCAGACGTTTACCACTTCGTTGAAACTCACGAGCACGGGTATTATGCTGACAAACCTAGAAACATAATCGGAGCGAACTGGGATTCGAACCCACAATCATAGGTTTCTGGCGTGCCCAGGGAACGCAACTCTGCACAGGGAATCGCGGCGCCTTAGACGACTGGGCCCCGGTGCCCCCCTATCGTGTTGAGCTCCTGCTGCTACCAAACTGCGACTATCGTGCCGCTGATTGCGCTTCCCCCTTCTCACATGGTCAGTGGAGTGTTCCACGGTATCTGGTAGTGGCAATTAGTGTATTGATGGTGGATGAAGCACACCCGGGATGTTACAGGGTCACTGTTATTACCTTCAGCTACTTCAGTGTGCAATATGTCGCACCTAGTCGATCATGTAGCATCTATACATATTGGCCAAACACTATCGGAGTGAAAAAGCGATGTAAACTGTCCAATGCTGAAGTGTTACTAAAGTTTGACACATGACATTCCATTTAGACACAGAGCCGCGCCCGCAATGGGTTTCAGATCTTGGTAGTGAGTGAGTTTGGTTTTACGCTGCTTTTAGCAGTATTCCAGCAATATCACGGCGGGTGACACCAGAAATGGGTTTCACACATTGTACCCATGTCGGGAATCGAACCCGTGTCTTCGGCATGACGAGCTAACGCTTTAACCACGAGGCTACCCGACCGCCTAGGTTAACCCAATGACAGGTCTTGCCGAGTTAAACTCAATGACACGTCTAGCCTAGCTAAACACAATGACACGTCTCGATGAGATAACCCCAATGGCACATCTAGCCGACCTAAACCCAATGACACGTCTCGTCGAGTTAAACCCAGTGACACGTCCAGTCGAGGTTAACCAAATGACACGTCCAGCCTAGTTAAACACAATGACACGTCTCGATGAGATAACCCCAGTGACACGTCTAGCCGACCTAAACCCAATGACACGTCTATCCGACCTAAACCCAATGACACACCTAGCTGAATATATATTCAACCCTGATTGGACTGTGGAATGAGCAGTAAACCCGAAGGCCAAATTAACCCTTTCCACAATCCCACACGTCAACTTGATGTACGGTACAGTAATCGCTGCATCTGTGAGCTGTCCTCCTCTTGTTACACCTCATCAGGATAATCTGTTCGACTAGGCGTGTTACAATGTCAACAGCTTCCTATTGAAATAATTAATCACAAATATCCTTGTGCGCGAAGTGTTAGAGTTAATGATATTAGCAAATTACACAATGCCTCATATATTTCCTTTGACATCTATCTGTCGAGGGTGATATAGCATCGATATATACTTCAAGCCGCAGGTTGTGTTATGCTATCATTAACGTGCGTACGAGATACTGGATTGTATAGATAGATTTATTACAGCTATTGATATGGGGGAGATTCCTAACAACCTATCACCGGTATCCTGTGACATCGGCTGATAATCATGCCAAACCCTAGAAAGACTCGACTGTTATTACACCGCTGTTGGTCGCGTGGATGACAATGCTATCGGTGTCTCTCCTACCCTAACAACTCCACAGCCGCGCTCTTAGTTTAGCGAGAAACGTTGTGGTTTTCTTGTTGACATTTGAACTGTGATCGGAGATCCTTCATTAGACATGGCGACGAGTCGACCGATCTATACCTCACCGCGGTGAATGAGTGCGAATGCCCTTCTTTTAAATATATCCTTGTTGAAACACAGGTTACGACTTAGATTCGACTAGAATCACATGACGTAAACGCTTGACTGACGTTGAAAAGATCTTCGATTGGAGTTGTACATAGGTCTCAAAGTAGGAAAAGCTTTTGTGACTTTGATAAGACATTTCTATACATCTATTGTCGGCCTTTATCCTTGAGCCGTGTGAATGTGTTTGATATGAAGTGACGAGAGTAATGTATTGGTTACCGTGTATTGTACCTAATGCACATCCGCAAAGCTGTGCTAACTCGTTACGTTATTTACTCTCACGACAGAGGTACTTGTTATATCGCCGTTACAAATTCGAGCAAACGTATGACGGCCACACCGTTGTGTCGAAGTTGAAGGGACCTACGTAAATACTTCGAGTTACCCGGACATACTGGATGTAACGAACTGTTCTAAAATCGCCCTTTTCATAAAGGTTATTACATACAGTATCATGTATAATAGTGTGACAACAGCGATAAATAGTTTATTAACAGTTTCGACGACTTCGTTGTAGCCGTACTTTGCTGAATATAATTACTTTCTGTCAACGTTGAGATAGAGATGGCTGCCGTCTGTATTGGATCATCATCGAGTTGGGAAACTTCGCAGCATGAAATGTCTATCGCAGTAGTTGTATTAGGTTTGAACTGGTGACGTTCACAAAGTGTATGAGTGAGTTGGGTTTAACGTCGCTCTGTACAGTTTCAAGTTATGTCACGGCGTTTCAGCTTGATGTGGGATGAAAGCCCGAAGTGATGCAGGTCTTAGAAGTTTACCACTTTGTTGAAATCCATCAGAGGTATGGTGCTGACAAACCTAGAAACATAATCGGCATGAACGGTCACAAAGTGATATCAGGACTGCGTCTAGCGGAACTCTCATACTCCAACATAGACATTTGGCGTAGCCCTTAAGATCCCAGTGTGGTAGGAGGCTTTGCAACTGGTTTCGCCCAGAGACGAAATAATACACTTATTTAAGTATCAGTTTAAAATACACATTGTACCCTGTGGGAATTCCGGATAGGTCCCTCAGCAACTTATGTTGGTCGTGAGGGGCGACTATATGAAGCTGGTGGTCAGGCTCGGTGACTTGGGTGATAGCATGTCATCGTACCAAGAATGCGTGGACGGTTACTTAGACTAAATGATGGATTGTCTGGTCCAGATTCAAATATTTACAGGCCACCGTCATATACAATGTAGCTGTAATATTGCTGAGTTTGGCGTAAAACAACAACCACGTTTTTGAATATTTGCTTGTCGTGTTCTCTAACAGTTTCTAAACGTTGTTTAATGTATTGATGTTATTATATCTTGATATTCAATGTATTCTTTGCTGTTACAGAGTTACAGATGGAAAGATCCAAATATGTCAATATGGATGACAACAGGATGTAACAGAACACCTCGGCTGTCGATACTAAGTCACTAAGGAACCAAGATTCATACATTCCAAGATGGCGGCCTATGCTAATCCTCTCAGCTTCTGTGTGATCTTGTGGACGCTTCTCTGTGGCGTACGAGAAGGTCAATGTCAAAATAGAACAACTTTCACACGCCGGGAGGCAACTCCAGCATCCCCGAATGTTGGCTATGCGATTACTAACAGCATGTGCAGATTGGAATTAGAAGACAAACAATTTCACAGCTACGTTAAAACAATGGAAAAGAAAATGGCTGTGTTGTTTAAAATCAGTTTACGAACTACAAACACATCGAAGGAAAATGACAAACTGTACAATGATATAAGTATGAATTACAAACCATTTCTGTGGTACAAGACCAAAACGCGCCATGGTCGCACGCTGCTGATGCTGTCATTCCACTACGATGTTCTGTCAATGTCTATTCTGACAATAGGAGTCGAGGAAATGGAGATCAACATCACAGATTCTCCTCAAGGATGCCTCCAGAACATGTCAGCTGATAACCGATTGACAGCAATACGCCAACTATTGATAGAAGAAAAACAGTCCAGTAACGAGGACAGGTACTCTAGCGCCCACAGAGACTATGTATGCAACCAGGAGATCAAGAAAGAAGATGACAACTATGCAGAGTTCGTGTTCCAGTGCTGCCATCGGGACTCTCATGGGAAGATCAAGTGCAGCGACCAAGAAGATGACCCCTGGATCTCCATCCTGTACATTTCAGTGACTGCGGTCAAGGTTCTCGTCTTCTGTTTCTGCCCCATGTTCCTCCCCGCCAATATGTACAACGCCATGTACGTGGCTGCGGAGTACGTGGTCAAGCTGAAGAAGGAGGTGAAGAAGTTCATCTACATCTCGGAGGAGAGCGACTATAAGATAAAGTACAAACAACGGCTGACTCTGGAGGACATATCTGACTGGTGGAGATTCAGGGACATGTTGGAGACCATGCCTAAGAATGAGATTCTCCCCATCAAGATGTCCGAAGTGCGAATCACCGTCAAGGGGAAGAGGATTATCCCAGAAAATGATCCCCCGACTGGTTTGATGAGGACGTTTTATGATAATCTATGTCGATGTAAAATCAAGGGAATCGATCCTTTTGTTGACTGTTGTGACTTGAGCGTGTATGCTTCTTTGGAATCGAAATTTTCGCACAAGTTGACCTGGCATCAATTTGTCCAGGCTCTTGTGAAGGGGCTGATGCTTCTGCTGCTGCCGATGCCCTACTACATCCGGTTATTCATCTACTACAAGTTCGAGAAGCATGAGATGGACCACCGATACGAGTCTCTGAATAACTTACATCTCAACCTCCGCTATGTCTTCTACAAGACCAACGTCATCCAGCACTATAGCCCGAGCCATGGCATATTCATAGCTGCTTATTTCTTCTATTTTCTAGCAGGATGTGTTATTGGATTTTCCTCGCCTGTTGTTCGAGACAAACTGAAGTCCGTTTCCAGAGGTGCCCTTCAGGACATGAACGCTATCTCACAAACAGGTGTGCTACAAGTCATCATTAGAATTGGTCTGTGGCCTTTCAAGAAATGTGGACTAATAGCATTGTTGCTCGGTCCTCTCTATATGTGTGTAACTTCTCCTTTTTGCATTGTCATTCTTGTGTTGTACTGTATACCAACCATATACCTTTCCTTTCGAATTGTGTACCAAACCAAACGGCAGATAGGTGACAATTCATATATGGATGACGAAGAGAAAGTGAAAAGACGTAAGTTTAGAAAAATCCATAACATAGGCCGGCATCTTTCTAAAATAGACAAAGTGGTTCATAGATCTACGCCAGAGGCTGAGGATAATTGTTGTCCATCGTCCATGGGTTTCAATGGTTTCTCGACCATTAAGACAGCGTGCCTTCAGGTCACGTGTGCGGTATTCTGCTTGTGTGTTCTTTATGCCATAGCTCTCATCTTTGCAGAATCATTTGGTTTGATTGTTGAGGTTCTGGCTTTTACGATGATGGGGATCATTGTGAATGCCAGTAGCACTCTCAAATACGTCAGTATGGTGCTCCTAGTGTTTGTATATATGCACGACTGTTATAGCAATGTGTATCAGAATTATCTGGAGTTTAACAAGACTATAATAGCAGAGATGATAGATAGAGCTGAGGACTTAAAGAAGATAGCAAGTCTTCCATCAAGTATGCAAGAAAACGCTGCATTTCAACTTAAGTGTAGTGACGAAGTACCCCCGATTAAAACAGATCTGAATTTTACCAAAAAGGAGATCAGGTGGAAACTTGGTCAGTTGTTGTTATTCTTGGACTCATTTGACACCCCTAGAATACCTCTTCGACTCTTCCAAAGACTCTGTGATGTTCAAATACACGGAGCACCTGGACCAGTTTATCTGAACCTCCTGAGGGCAACTGGGAAGTTCCTAGTGATTGTAGTGTTCCTGTTGTTTGTTATGATTGTGGTGATGGCATTTGGAAATGTAACGCAGATGTCATCAACCAATCAGACGCTAGCAACTCTAGCTGGTGGGTTTGTACCAATGCTGCTCAAGAACGTTTTGTCCTCAAAATCAATCAAACTGAATTTGAAGACTATTAGCTTCAAAGGACAAATAGACGAGATCATTGGGGAGTACAAACAGTACTGGCCTGTGAAGGACCTGGTGATAGAAAGAGATCTACCAAAGGAAGAGGAGGAGGAAGATGGAGATAAGGAGGGAGAAAAGGACGGTGGAGCAGAGAAAGAAAAGGATAAGGAGAAAAATGGGAAAGACAAGAAAGATGAAAACTCCACCAAAGAAAAGGTCACAACACCCGAGAAGAAGACTGACAGGAAGGAGAGCGTTGTGGACACCCAAGTCTCCATAAAGAGCAAGGATTCAAATGAACCAGGTTTTGTTAATGATGGAGATGATGGCTTAACAAGTATGTTTCCACCAATCCCGGAAGACCAGGAAGTGGACCTGTTCATAGACCTGAGTTCAGCTGATGCTCCTGGTGGATGGTCCTATCGGGGGTCTTCTGAGAGCATCCCGTCAGATTCCATGATGCCAGCGTACTTCCCTACCAACGTTAGCGCCGATATCACAAAAATCACCATTACCTATCCGGAGGAAAATCCTGTCTGAGAGAACTGTATATTCTCTGGATCTCAAACGGGACTTCACGGTAAAGGCCTTGTCCTTTGTCAGCCACAGCACGTCCTGGACCCACTATACCAATTGCACTGTTTTGTGGACCTACGACAGCAGAATTCTGCAGTCCAGATTGAAGCAAGGCTAAAGGAGAAGGTTATGGTTGTTCTCGATGGATGTGGAACCATCAGCACACACGGACAGCCCCGATCGAGAGGAAGGGAGATGTATATCGCTGTGTACAAGTTTGAAAACCAGATATAGTTGACCGAACTTTAGATGTTTGGTATGTTTTGATGTTTTGAGACACCATAAATGGTATTGTTTTATGAAACCATTAATGGTATTGTTATATGAATGATCGGAATGTAAATGATGAGCGATAACTGAGGTGCTGATGGCAAAAGCATTTGTTAGAGAACCTGTTGGTTTAACTTGAGAGATGCCACGCCTAACAATTGGGAGCAGATTACTTGCGTGGACTATAGTTGTTTAAATGTTTAACACCTATATTGTATCATTGTATGACTTTTGCTTGTAAGCAGTACGCCGTGACAAATATAAACTATAAATGCCAATGTGAAAAGTAGAATATTATTATTTTGACGATTCCCTTTGCAAATAGTGCTAATCATTTGAAGAGCCGTTGCTGTTATACATGACCGATGTAAGGTGTTCACAGAAAATTTTCGTAATTTCTGACATTTTCACTTTCTACTTATACCATGAATGCGTTGTTTCATAGTTCATAATGTAACCTTGTCTTTACCGTTATGTGATGCCAGCGTACGTCCCTACCAACGTTGGCACCGACATCACTACAAGCACCATTATCTATCCAGATGAAAATCCGGCCTGAAATACTTATATACTCTCTGGACCTCACACAGAACAAATTGATAACGTTTCGGCCTCGCACTGTATCTCTGTATTATTTTAGGAAAAAACTTTCTATTTCAGGCAACTAAATTAACTCCTTCACGTAAACCTTTCAACCAAACTCTAAGTGCTCCTACATTGAACTTACTTTGTTTCGTACAACCAGCATCCATTCAAAGCGGAGACATTCCAGTTCCAAGTCTGTTGTTAAAGAAAGAAAATTGGCCAGGCAGTTCTCAAAACCACAAAATCCATTAATTTGATGTGGCCGCGTCATTGTGCATAATGTTGTTTGTTTCCGTGTAAAGTGTACACTCCATGTGTGTAAAGTGATTTACTGATCGACTTATATGTACTTTGGTCATTTGTTTTATTTTACATTCGATTCCAGACAAATGAAACTGTACAATATTTTGAATAAAATCTTGCAAATATGCGAAAATAATATGTTTAAATGGAATCATATTTGGATTGCTGACTTGTATATAGGCTGTGCATTTTGGTTAATCTGAGCTGTGTGGATGAGTTATTGTTTAACGCCACCGTCAAACAAAATTCGACTCTTGTACAAGCAAACAAGTGATTGATAGAACGAGTACGACCCCCTCCCCCCTCCCCATCGAGGAACGATGGCACTCCGGTCAGCCATGTCACAACCATTTGTTCCTGAAATAAGTCGGAGGCACCTGTTTTACCCTGGAACCATCACGGAAAGTCAAACAAAGGCACCTGTTTACCCTGGAACCATCACGGAGAGTCAAACTAAGGCACCTGTTTTACCCTGGAACCATCACGGAGAGTCAAACTAAGGCACCTGTTTTACCCTGGAACCATCACGAAGAGTCAAACTAAGGCACACGTTTTACCCTGGAATCTTTAAGGGGATGATAAGACAAACCTGTGTTCTTATACTTGCCCGGCAGGTCACCCGATATTTGCATATTTCATCGCCACAACGGTCACACCCAACACTTTGAACATTAAACTTGTCAGCCCACTCCATACGGTGTCAATGTTTCGCAATATCAAATAAACATGTTCCGCTGGTTTGGCAAGCAAAGGTGGCTGTTGAAACCATTGTGGGCGTTGTAGGCGGTGAGTCAGTGTAAGTAAAGCCACCTTGCCATCCCCAATGGAGTCCAAATAAAGGAAAGTTTATATCCATGAAGTTAACATTACTCAATGAATATGCTCCACACTTCAGTCCGCACTATCACCACCATTATTGCACGGTGACTGGACAGAAGCCCGTGCACCTTGAGTACGATGCCACACTTAACCAGCCTCGTCCCCTGGTTAGATCTCTCATTCAAGTGAGATAGTGAGTGACACAATGACAGTGTTTTAGCCATCGTGACAAGAACATGTTATTCATTAATAATCATTTATTAAAAACTGTCAACGATGGACTACAATAACGAATAATACATACGGGGTTTTCTATTTTTATGCAACTTGTTTGGGAATATTTAAAACAGGAAACCATTACTTAACAGCACAAGACAAAATCGGGCTACAGATCGCCAGCAACCAAAAGCCACTACTAGGAACCAATGAGGCCTAACGGTACCTATGCTACCTGCGTGGTACCCCAACAGGATTTAAACATCATTCTGATTGTTGGTAATTTAAGCCGACAATTAAACCTTATAGTTATACAACGATTACAACTATGGTAGGAATAAAATACTTTGAATGATGTGGTCTTACATACTCATAGTTTGACAAATAGTTTACGCTACTTCAACCCCCTTTGAGCATACAGCCACTAAACCTCTTCTCATTAAAGTAGTAACGAGAGTACTATTGACCATTCCATCAAACGAAAGTACTATTGACCATTCCATCAAACGAAAGTACTATTGACCATTCCATCAAACGAAAGTACTATTGACCATTCCATCAAACGAAAGTACTATTGACCATTCCATCAAACGAAAGTACTATTGACCATTCCATCAAACGAAAGTACTATTGACCATTCCATCAAACGAAAGTACTGTTGACCATTCCATCAAACGAAAGTACTGTTGACCATTCCATCAAACGAAAGTACTATTGACCATTCCATCAAACGAAAGTACTGTTGACCATTCCATCAAACGAAAGTACTGTTGACCATTCCCCCAAACAAAAGTACCATTCCAACACACTGTATGCAATGATAATGGGATACTGACGACAAATTCTATGTTGATACCCATAGACAAGGAGTGAGGAATAGGGTACTGGAATCGATCCTTGTCTCGTGGGGTTTTCGGATGAGTGAATGTTGTTTTATGCCACGGTGGGTAATATTTAGGGCAATAAGTCTGGGCCCGGCAAACCAGTGGTTGACATGTTGATCAACCATCAACACACATACGATGACACATTTTTAACCAGATCACACAATCACCACCTAATATTCATTGTAGTTAGATTTTACATGATTTATAGAACGCCCTTTTCCCAATCTAACAAAAGAGTCTTCACTCACTTGAATCCCAGTTCACTGACCTAGGAGTTACAGAGAACCCATTTCACCCATCTTCCCAAAGGAGTGTCCCTGACTTGAATCCCAGTTCACTGACCGTAGAGTTACAGAGAACCGATTTCCCGATCTTCCCAAAAGGATTGTCATCCACTTGAATCCCAGTACACTGACCGTGGAGTTACAGGAAACCCATTTCCTCCATCTTCCCAAAGGACTGTACCTCACTTGAATCCCAGTCCACTGACCTAGGAGTTACAGAAAACCCATTTCCCCATCTTCCCAAGAGACTGCCCTTTATTTGCATCCCAGTTCACTCATCTCGGAGTTACAGAGAACCTCTTTCCCCATCTACTCAAGGTATTGTCCTTCACCTGAATCCCAGTACACTGACCTCGGAGTTACAGAGAACCCATTTCCCCATCTACCCAAGGTATTGTCCTTCACTTGAATCCCAGTACACTGACCTCGGAGTTACAGAGAACCCATTTCACCATCTTCCCAAAGGACTACCCTTAACTTGAATCCCAGTCCACTGACCTCGGAGTTACAGAGAATTCATTTCACCATCTTCCCAAAGGATTGTCCTTCACTTGAATCCCAGTACACTGACCTCGGGGTTTGGCCAGACAAGCAAAAGGATAGCCCGCGCAGCGATCCATGCTGTCTCGGTGTAAAGAGACACCAGGGAGACAGTGTAGCCACCCATTTAGTCGTATCGAATATCGTATTCTGCCTGCAATTCCCCCAGGGTCAAGTTTACACGTCCAACAAACGACACTTAACACGCAATAGGTGTAGTTTATATACTAGTGTTAAAAAGTGCCTGTGCAACACTGGGAAGCATGGGAAACAATAAACAAAGCATTCTTTTTCAGATAGACGTGACATAACGATTAAGAGGTTTACCCGTCAATAAAGATGATTTTCACAGTTAAAATACTTTAGCGATTTACCTGTTTAAATTGGCGCACATATTTTTTTCTGCTGGTACAGAATGCGTTCGTTCGGCCATCGACACGAATAAATTATTAATACTGTAATCAGCATTGGGTTGAAATAGAATAAGATACTCGTAATTACTTTCTGGTAAGTTTCAGTACAAACCCATTAACTAACCGTTACCATTCTTGTTGACTACTCAGATAAATTACGAACGTCCAATTATCGCAGAATACAATATATGTACTCAATATTTAGGGTTAATGAGGAGTTGCATCCCAACTACACTCAATAATTAATGCTTGAAACTGACAATTTGTACAGCTTTTGCACGAGTACTTAACGCCACTTGTCATGGCCAAGGCCCCAGGAATATACCCGTTGGGAATAGAACCCTGGTCGTTGACGTTACAAGCGAACGCTTTAATCACTAGACTGCCACACTACGGGTGGTCCAGTTGTCCAAGACGCTACTTTTCGATGTACAATGTGCATCTTAGGTGTGCCATGATCCTGTGGTCGTGGATGTCGAATCCAAGATTCTCCCTCAACATTATCGTTGGTCCATCAACACTATACCTATGCTCGATAGAGCCGCTCGAAAGTGACAGACCAGAAATACTGGTGTAAAACATAACTCACTCAGTCATTCACGGTCAGTGAAGGGCAGCGAGTGGGTGGGTTGGTGAGTGAGTGAGTTGGGTTTAACGCCGCTTTGAAAAGTATTCCAGTCATACCTTCATGTGGGAGGAAAGTCCGATTTGATGCAGGCCTCAGACGTTTACCACTTTGGTGAAACCAACGAGTACGGGTATGATGCTGACAAACTAGAAACATCATCGGGACCAACCGGGATTCGAAACACAACCATAGGTTTCTGGCGTGCCAAAAGGACGCAGACCTGGCCACCCGTACGACTGGGCCACCCGTACCCTCGGGGCCTTGAATGAGTTAAGTAGCATGTCAAACTGACGTTATATTTCCCCACATGCTTGTGTCAAAAGTCCGTTCATTCGTGGTATATCCTGCACGTGTCTCCTTACAAGAGCAGCTCACCCCCATATAACCAACCTCACGGTGTCGGTGGGAAAGTGTTCTGCACATTTCAGATTCGATTAATGCGTGAAGATAAAAAAGACTACGGCCCCTCCGTCATGTGTTGGCCACGTGTTAATGTGCACCCTATTTTTGGAAGATCCTGGATCCGTCTCTGTTATCAATACATTTTACTTATTTCCTTATATAACACTTTTATTGCATTACAACCTTCACATAAAAAAACACAGCCACTGTAGATAATTTAAAAGGACTCTATGAAGTGCATAAGTGTGTTTGTGGGCCGTGTCACAACATGATCCACATCGTGGACAGCCGGATGTAACCGACAGGCATAATACAGATTGCGTGGGATATGGGTATAGAGAATTCAGTTGAGCCATTTTAATTTTCCATAATTTAGCTTTGGCTGCACGACTGACAGATACGGCAGAGTTAATGATGTGTGTCGGATCCTGTAGCCTCTTTCCGCAAGACACAGGGGTATATGTTGGGTGGTGTAGCCTGTCTCGCAAGACACAGGGGTATATGTTGGGTGGTGTAGCCTGTCTCGCAAGACACAGGGGTATATGATTGGTGGTGTAGCCTGTCTCGCAAGACACAGGGGTATATGATTGGTGGTGTAGCCTGTCTCGCAAGACACAGGGGTATATGTTTGGCGGAGTAGCCTGTCACGCAAGACACAGGGGTATATGTTGAGTGGTGTAGCCTGTCTCGCAAGACACAGGGGTATATGTTGGGTTATGTAGCCTGTCTCACAGGACACAGGGGTATATGTCGGGTGGTGTAGCCCGTCTCGCAAGACACAGGGGTATATGTTGGGTTATGTAGCCTGTCTCACAAGACACAGGGGTATATGTTGGGTGGTGTAGCCTGTCTCGCAATACACAGGGGTATATGTTGGGTGGTGTAGCCTGTCTCGCAAGACACAGGGGTATATGTTGGGTTATGTAGCCTGTCTCACAGGACACAGGGGTATATGATGGGTGGTGTAGCCTGTCTCGCAAGACACAGGGGTATATGTTTGGTGGTGTAGCCTGTCTCGCAAGACACAGGGGTATATGTTTGGTTATGTAGCCAGTCTCGCAATACACAGGGGTATATGTTGGGTGGTGTAGCCTGTCTCGCAATACACAGGGGTATATGTTGAGTGGTGTAGCCTGTCTCGCAAGACACAGGGGTATATGTTGGGTGGTGTAGCCAGTCTGGCAGGAAACGGGTATATGTTGGGTTATGTAGCCAGTCTCGCAAGACACAGGGGTATATGTTTGGTGGTTTAGCCTGTCTCGCAAGACACAGGGGTATATGTTGGGTGGTGTAGCCTGTCTCGCAAGACACAGGGGTATATGTTTGGTGGTGAAGCCTGTCTCGCAAGACACAGGGGTATATGTTGACTGGTGTAGCCTGTCTCACAGGACACAGGGGTATATGTTGACTGGTGTAGCCTGTCTCGCAAGACACAGGGGTATATGTTGGGTGGTGTAGCCTGTCTCGCAAGACACAGGGGTATATGTTAGGTGGTGTAGCCTGTCTTGCAAGACACAGGGGTATATGTTGGGTTATGTAGCCTGTCTCGCAAGACACAGGGGTATATGTTGGGTGGTGTAGCCTGTCTCGCAAGACACAGGGGTATATGTTGGGTTATGTAGCCAGTCTCGCAAGACACAGGGGTATATGTTGGGTTATGTAGCCTGTCTCTCAAGACACAGGGGTATATGTTGGGTGGTGTAGCCAGTCTGGCAGGAAACGGGTATATGTTGGGTTATGTAGCCAGTCTCGCAAGACACAGGGGTATATGTTTGGTGGTTTAGCCTGTCTCACAAGACACAGGGGTATATGTTGGGTGGTGTAGCCTGTCTCGCAAGACACAGGGGTATATGTTTGGTGGTGAAGCCTTTCTCGCAAGACACAGGGGTATATGTTGGGTGGTGTAGCCTGACTTGCAAGACACAGGGGTATATGTTGACTGGTGTAGCCAGTCTCGCAAGACACAGGGGTATATGTTGGGTGGTGTAGCCAGTCTCGCAAGACACAGGGGTATATGTTAGGTGGTGTAGCCTGTCTTGCAAGACACAGGGGTATATGTTGGGTTATGTAGCCTGTCTCGCAAACACAGGGGTATATGTTGGGTGGTGTAGCCTGTCTCGCAAGACACAGGGGTATATGTTGGGTTATGTAGCCAGTCTCGCAAGACACAGGGGTATATGTTGGGTTATGTAGCCTGTCTCGCAAGACACAGGGGTATATGTTAGGTGGTGTAGCCTGTCTCGCAAGACACAGGGGTATATGTTGGGTTATGTAGCCAGTCTCGCAAGACACAGGGGTATATGTTGGGTGGTGTAGCCTGTCTCGCAAGACACAGGGGTATATGTTGGGTTATGTAGCCTGTCTCGCAAGACACAGGGGTATATGTTGACTGGTGTAGCCTGTCTCGCAAGACACAGGGGTATATGTTTGGTGGTGTAGCCTGTCTCGCAAGACACAGGGGTATATGTTTGGTGGTGTAGCCTGTCTCGCAAGACACAGGGGTATATGTTGGGTTATGTAGCCAGTCTCGCAAGACACAGGGGTATATGTTTGGTGGTGTAGCCCGTCTCGCAAGACACAGGGGTATATGTTGGGTTATGTAGCCTGTCTCGCAAGACACAGGGGTATATGTTGGGTTATGTAGCCTGTCTCGCAAGACACAGGGGTATATGTTGGGTTATGTAGCCTGTCTCGCAAGACACAGGGGTATATGTTTGGTGGTGTAGCCTGTCTCGCAAGACACAGGGGTATATGTTGGGTGGTGTAGCCTGTCTCGCAAGACACAGGGGTATGTGTTGGGTGGTTCAGCCTGACTTGCAAGACACAGGGGTATGTGTTGGGTGGTTTAGCCTGTCACGCAAGACACAGGGGTATATGTTGGGTTATGTAGCCTGTCTCGCAAGACACAGGGGTATATGTTGGGTGGTGTAGCCTGACTTGCAAGACACAGGGGTATATGTTGACTGGTGTAGCCAGTCTCGCAAGACACAGGGGTATATGTTGGGTGGTGTAGCCAGTCTGGCAGGAAACGGGTATATGTTGGGTTATGTAGCCAGTCTCGCAAGACACAGGGGTATATGTTGGGTGGTGTAGCCTGGCTGGCAGGAAACAGGGGTGTGTATTGGGTCGTGTTGCCTGTGTGGCAGGGTAGAGGGGTATGTGTCTGGTCGTGTAACCTGCCCAGCAGGGCACAGGGCTATGTGTCTGGTAGGGTAGCAAGTGTGGCAAATCTGAATGGTGGGTACCAAGCAGTCATCAAGTTTTTGAGTTTAGAGAAAAGTACTCCTCAAGAAATTCATGACCGCATGTCACAAGCGTATTGCGATGAGTACCATTGCTGAACTTGAGGAAGACACAGATCTAAGCCATTAATCAATTGAAACTATTATTCATGAACATTTACATATAAATGAGATATCTGCTTGTTAGGTGCCATTGCCAGAAAAAAAGCTAATTGAGGAGGATTTCATCAAATTCAAAAAGAGATTAGTAACGGGTGATGAAACATGGGTCTACAACTATGATCCCGAGTCAAAACGTCAATCCATGGACTGGCACCATTCCACTTCTCCGGCACCAAAGAAATTCAAGTCTTCAAGATCAGTGAAGAATGTTATGGCCACTGTATTCTGGGATGCAAGGGAAGTGCTCCTTATTGATTACTTAGAAAGTCAAAAGACGATTACTTCAGAAAACGGAATTTTGGAATTGAAAAGCTTCACTATCGAAATGGGAAGTGTATTGAAAAGCAGGGAGATTATGTTGACAAACACTTTCACAATTGTTGGTTTGGTTTTGTTAGGCCTAGAACTTTCTGACCAGCCCTTGTATTTGTGACAATTCAACCACCCTTCAGAGCTAGAAAGCACATCTAAGCCTATATGGTGCCTCGTAAATTTATCAACTTCCCTGAGAAATTGTATTTGCATAGCATGACTAACATGGATTAGATTTGAAAACAAACAAGTGGAGGTCAAATGTCAGAAAGTGTATCTATTAGCCTAGTTCACATTTGGAGTTAACACTGTTTGTTTGTTGTTTAAGTGCTGCACTGCAATATTCCAGCCATATGACGGCGAACTATAAATAATCAAATCTGAACCAGACAATTCAGCGATTGATGTTTAAAGCATCACCATACATGAACACATTCAACCAAATACAACCTGATCAATAAAGTCGCCTGAATGATAAGCATAGGTAGGCTGCTGGGGATCAATTCTAACTTGGAATCCACGGTTAATAAAACCATGTCAAAACAGGCTAAATGCATGGTTACCTGTACATCAACCCACAGGCAGAAACACAAAACTATACACATCATCATTCTAATATATTTATTGCCAAAGTCATCAGTAAATATGTTTCCTTCATTTCCTGATGGCCAAGTGTCTGACTTCTACTATTGCCAAATGTTGGATGCTTGAGTTGTACCAGTTGTTACATTGTCACCTGACACAACAATACCAGTACAAAGGTGACAGGAGGAGGATCGGTGGGAAGGAACAGCATTTTTGAAAATTGGCAGCCATGAGAACACCTGAGAATGGAGATGTTGCAAAATCCGAGTGAAGATATATCCAGGAAATTATTCCCTCATTTCAATCTAATAATGAACACCATTCCAGGGTGTTATTTCCTTGTTTTGCCCTAATGATGAAGAGAATCTAGGGGTGTATCTATTCAAATAACACCCCTAGATCTGTGCTGCCGATGATAATCACAGCTGCACCCCTTGAGTCAAGGAACACATGGTGTTTCTGTTATTCACATCAAAACATGTGAGCACAATGCTACTGTCAAATCTTTGGGTCGCTGGTGCCAACAAGCCAGCTGACAGGCAAGGGAATGGTAAACAGTCAATCACTTAGTCACATATTTGATTTCAAGATGTGGCACTGTCTAGATAGCCTTGATCGGCATCACAATATCAGGCATCACAATGACAGGCATCTAAATGACACCTATCCCAGTGACAGGCATCACACTGACAGGCACCTAAATGACAGGCACCACACTGACAGGCACCACAATAGCATTCATCACAATGGCATACATCACAAAGACAGACATCACATTAAATATTGACTACATTTGGCATTATGAACTATCTACACATGTCTCACACATAATGGCACTTTTCGGGCATTCACATGTTACATATATTTAAAAAAATGTTTTATAGATATGAACTTCGAGGAATATCAACACTATGAACAAACATAGACATTGTTTTATCTGTATGAAGATAATAATCATTTGTATTCTAGCTACTCTCATCCTATATTTCTAAACACTTCTTCAAACATTTGAAGCAAACACAAAATTATCATAATTCAGTAACATTGTACACATGAAATGCATCAATGTTAATAAATCATTTTACCATGATTACCATTTAGGAGATCTCCCAATGGATGCAGATTTGAGGCACCAGGAAGCATATTGCATGACAAGGAACAACCATACCCCAAACAGATATCGAAAATAACAACATTGCAACATTTGAAGGGAGTGAATGAATTGAGTGTTATCACCGCTTTTAACAGTATTCCAGGTATATCACGGCGTGTCAGCATTATCTGGAATGAAAGCATAGGTATGGTGCTGACAAACCTAGAAACAATCAACTGAACGAACCAGGATTCTAACCCACAATCACAGTTCCTGGTGTGCCAAAGGGACGCAACTCTACACAGCGAATTGAGGTGCCTTAGACTACTGGGTCACCGTTGCCCTACAATATTTATGAAGAGCCTGTTTTCACTCCACCCTAAAACTTAAGATAATTTTCAAATATACCCACTATCTGAAAGTAAAATGTCACATAAAAAGGTAGATAAAATACCTAAAATATTGATCTTAACAATCGATAATCAGATGAACAACTCGTATGAACAAACTCATGGCATGAACGATAAATGTCAATATCATAATGGTTGGATGGATTTCAACAGAGATCAAATAGATACACCTGTAGCACAATGGACAACACTGTCACATTTTGTGCTCTATTAACATGATTAAGTACACAAATAATTGACCAAAGTAACATATCAAAACAAGCACTGCAGCAATAAAAGATATATCCATACAAATGGGTAATATATAAAATAACATGTATACAAAATACAGGAGCTCATAAACAACACATGTTGAATCATGTATAAAACAGGGGGTGTATAAAATGGTCCGTTTAAGTAGATAATAAATACAGTGTAGTAACAAGAGTGGAGGAGGGGCATCTCCTGATGTTCATATCACAGACTCCAGCTCTGTATAACCAGTTATATAGTTCAGTTATAAACAGTTTGATTTTAGGAGAACTAAAACTGACTACAGATAACTCTATACTGGGCAATACCCAGGCAGACACATCATTTGATTATATTTGTAGTGGTGTCAGATTCGGAACAGGGAATCCAGTTGCCAAGTCTGTCATTTGTATAAGGATAAATTGAATAAATAATTTGATTCAAGGTTTAAACTCAATTAGCCAGCCATTATAACAAACAGTAAACAGGTTTGTGTGTGATTATCAATGAATATGAGCATTTGTGCATGTGGTAAATAATGTTAGAACAGGACACGTTACAAATTACATAATTAATATAATTATATATAAATAACCATATATTTCATTTCAAGGATTTCAATCTCCAACAGTCTCTTGAGTAAGGGCATCATACTAGCCGTATTTATCAAGTAATTTCATAAAATCATGGATTTGTCTCAATTCACAAATCATAAGATGTAATTTTCCTTATCAGTCCTATGTTTGTATACATATAACATCCACATAGATACGTTACAGTTATTATGTGTAATATGTTGAAAATACTATTTATGAAGATGAGTTCTTGATAAGGATAATAGTTGATTGTAAAACAGCTAATGATTGATTGGAATACAAAGGATATATTACTCTTTACACATTAAAGATCTGAAATAAAATAATGCTGCATCAAACACAAATCATATAATAAATTATAAAATAAGTTGAGGTGGAAGTTGTCAAGCCATTTTTAATAACCAAACAGTTCTCGGCCATTACCTTAAACAAGACACTGACTGTACTGACTGTAGAACACGGAACTACACAAGCCAGATCATAGCACCTGTGTACTGGTCCCAGCTTGCGGGGACTCTACCCCATGGTGTGCCCCAGCGGTGAAAGACGGTGTCGTTATTTGAAGCTGACACTTAGCTGAAGCTGAATTCACAGAAGATACAATATCGGACAAGAAGTGATGGAAACTTTGGCTTCTTTCATACAGATATCTCTGTTTAGAGGAAACGTGACTCCCAGCACGTGAGGCTGAAGAATGTCATCAATACACCCCAATATGGAACGCGACAGACACAATATGCTATGACACAAATTGGTTGGATTAGTGGTACTTGCATAGTATGGTCTTCGAACTGTTACATATCAACATTTTGGTTGGTTGGTTGGTTGTTTAACGCCGGACTCAGCAATATTCCAGCTATATGACGGTGGTATGTAAATAATCGAGTCTGGACCAGACAATCCAGTGATTAATATTATAAGCATCGATCCATGTAATTGGGATCGATGACATGCATCCACCAAGTCACAGAGCCTGACCACCTGATCCCATTAGTCGCCTCTTACGACAAGCATAGGTACATTTTGGATTCATCACCTGACATCTATCGTGTAGCCAAATCGTGCATTAGGGTCTTTGTGATTTTATAAAAATAGAACATTGTTTTCCTCAGAAACAGAATACTTACATTATTAGAGCATAATGTCTATTTTATATACTTATCCTGCATTACATATTGCACATTGCTCTTACTAGAACTCCTAACTGGAAGAAATGAATGACGATCTTGTAGAGTCTTCACTCTTTTGCCCAAGAATACCTCTGTTACATCAGGTGTCAGAAGACATGCCCCTATATGTCATCATTGTTTTCGCACACTCCCTGACTGATGGTACAGCATATCATGGAGTGGTCCTGTAGGTTGGAACTTGTCTTTCATCGACCTAAGGGTAGAAAGTGTGACTTGTCTGTCCTCTATTCTCTTCACTTGCTCAACCACTGGGGCTATGGCGTAGTCAAATAGAGTTGACGATGTCCATGGTTGGTTGATCAACATCGCTTTAAAACCTGGATCCTATGCTGAAGTGGACAGGTGATCCTGTCTCCTTAGATGAGTCAGCAATGGCAACGTGTGAAGAACATGGTCCTTCAGGTTCCCCAACTGCTTCAGCTGCCAGGACAGCACAGACTGTAACTGCTGTTTCCCATCAGTAGGGTGTTCTACCAAATGCACGTCCTTGTCACGGAGGGCAGGTTGGACAAAAGAGTACTGAAGACGCTACTAGCTGTAGATGCACTAGAGCAATGTGCAATATGTAATACAGCATAAGGTACAAATTACATTAATACTATTCAAGCTCAAAATCGTGCATTGTGGACTAATAATTGGGATACATATATTTTGACGTCTGTATTTTATTTCAAGCACTACTAGTTTCTGAGAGTCAGTCTCTACGACAGAAGTGTGGCTGCTGTATCTCGTGCAAGCATCAGCCTACTTGATACACAGCGGTAAGGATTTCTTCACTGGAGTGAAACAGCAGTCAGAGAATACCAGTAGCTGTGACCAAATTTACTTATTCACCATCTGTTCGAGCGACGTTCAAAACATTTTAACCTGTGGTCATTTGTTGGTAAATCAAATACAAATTCTGAGTATTGCCACACAAGATACAAAAATATGAAAATAATATTCACAAAATAATGGAATAACATCATTTCTGAATGTGACAGAGAATCTGATACGTACAATTTGCTAAGAGAACTATTCAGCATGACTGGGAATGCATCTGCCAACAGCTTCATGCAAACAGCTCCGAGTTACCACAGTGGAGCCTGTATCAGTGTTGGATGGGGACAGCAATGGATGATAGGTATGGAGGAATATGCTGACTGATACGCATGCACCACTAATGCCATATATGATTAAATACTGTATATTGCAACATCACAATAACATGTCCATTCAAAACAGGTAGAGATATTCCTTGTTCCTCAATGTCTACTTCATATTTGTAACTTATCAATACACTCCATTACCTAATATTTCAGTATCTCCTATTCCTCAGCATTAATTTTTAAATTAAATTTGTGTTAACTTATTTTACCATCACGGATGTCAACAGAATTTACTTGAACTCATCCCTAGTATATTAATTCCACAAAGATATATTTTACGAGCGCTTCAATTAGACATCATGTATATGTATGGACATTGTTCCTGGCACTGAACATCACCAGGTAACCATGGTTACTGAGGTGAGACCAGTGCCTCAGTGTGTCGTGTGTGTAGGTATCAGTACTTGAGTATTATAGCCACAAATGCAAAACAAAGCCAGGGCAATATTTTCTGACAGGCGCACACACACACACTCCTGTGGTGGGTATCCTTGGTTCCTCCTCAGGAGGAGGATGTCGGCGGCAGTGCTAGGCAGATCCATCATCAAGTGACACCCAGGACACCAAAGCCCAGGTTAAAGGCAACCTCAACCAGACTCTGTGTCACAGACTCGTGGAAACAAACGTACAACTCGCGCTGATCGGGTAGAGGGAACCGACGACTGCAAAACACAGAAAGTGAAACATGATTCATTCTAGAAGTTTGTGAGTAAGTAAAAACACGCACAACTTTATGGGTAAAAACTTCTGGTTTATAGCATGTATCGATGATTCGATATAGATCCTTACACCATTACAAAGCTGGAAAGTCGCTTGCTTGATAATGGTGTAAGGGTCTACATGGAAACATCGCTACATGTAATACACCAGAAGTTGTTACCCATAAAGTTGTACGTATTCTTATGATTAACACTGACCTGACCTTGACTTTGTGTTTTCATCAGTATACCATAGCCCCATCGATGCCCTATCCTCTAATAACACCTATAATACTCAAAGAAGTTAAGGACCAACTGATTCTTTCATATAACAAGTTAATCTGCCACCTCTGATTTTTACATATCCCAAAAAATAATCTGGCATGCCAAGACAATGATCCTTTACTTCCAATTCTACTGAGTAGTGTATGATACTGAATGAAAAAGTGGGAAACCTCCGACACCTGCTAATACAGAACCATCACTTATAACACTCAATGACAGTGATAAACATCACAATCCAGGACACATGCTCATGAAACCCAATCTAACACTGACTACACCGAACAATAGTGATAAAACTTAACACTTATCAAACAAAAAGACACCTACAGCTTCACAAACTAGCTAAAGTCTGTCACTTATGACACTAAATGATACTGACAAAACTCAATGGCTTTCATACAGACTAATTGTGATCACACATGGTTATAGCGACAGAAAGCTTACCCGACCACCCAGTAGCAGAGGACAGTGGTGTTCTTCCTTGCCTCTGGAGACGTGGGGTACGCGTGTCTGAACATCACCCCATGCTCCTCCAGGTCCACCAGAGTACTGCCGACACCGAACCGGGGACGCAGCGGCGCAAATGCCTGCAGCATCAACATCATACACAACATCTTTACCATCATCACCTCGCTTCCAGAGAACACTGCACAATCTACAAGAGTAGCTGCATGATCAGGATAACACTCCTGACAGGCAAAACGTTGTGTCCAACAGAAAGACATACAGCAATATGTATTCTAAGGAGGTACCTCAACACATTATTCATAGTTTTTTCTGTGAAAGATACAGGGACACGATACAGGCTATGTACAGGCAGAGATGTGTCTCCAGTCAAGTATCAATAAACAAACACTCTATTTTGCTGAAATTGACAAACACACCTACTGTAATTATCAAACTATAAAAAAAACATTTGCGAAAAGGAAGCCAAATATTTAAATCTGTTGTATTCTTCCTAAAATGCAGTTACACAATGTTACACTTGGAAAAGCAATGTAGAAGATGAATGCTACAGAGCTACACCTTCAACATGTTCAACTACTCCTTCAGTACCCATCCTATGACTGTGAACAGGTGCCCTTACCTGGACCTGCTTCTGCTCGGTGAACAGTTTCCGTATGTGTAGGGAGCAGCGGTAGAAGTTGTCCAGTAGCTGGGAGTGGATAGCTCCCTGAACGGAGGCCAGTTCATAGTCCGACGGGGTCACGTACACCCCCTCCAGGTCATGCAGTTGGACGTAGTGGAACAACACGTTCTCACCACCACGTGTTATTCTGAAAATAACATAGGAGTATATGATATACATATTACAAAAAGATCTACATAATGCCTTAAAATTATTCATGGAAAGTAATAATATAAATATTTCATTTACATGAGAGAAGATATAGACATGATAAAATATCCTGTCATAACAGGATAAATTTCTCTGCAAATGATACAGACTTGTATGATAGAAAGTTACGTAGGATTGAGGAGATCACTGGACTAAGGGCTGGACATAAGATTGAGGAGATCACTGGACTAAGGGCTGGACATAAGATTGAGGAGATCAATGGGGTAAGGGATGGACATAAGATTGAGGAGATCACTGTCTAAGGGCTGGACATAAGATTGAGGAGATCACTGGACAATGGGCTGGACATAAGATTGAGGAGATCACTGGGGTAAGGGCTGGACATAAGATTGAGGAGATCACTGGACAATGGGCTGGACATAAGATTGAGGAGATCACAGGACTAAGGGCTGGACATTAAATTGAGGAGATCACGAGACTAAGGGCTGGACATTAAATTGAGGAGATCACGGGACATAAGATTGAGAAGATCACAGGACTAAGGGCTGGACATTAAATTGAGGAGATCACAGGAGTAAGGGCTGGACATTAAATTGAGGAGATCAGGGGACTAAGGGCTGGGCATTAAATTGAGGAGATCACGGGACTAAAGATTGAGAAGATCACAGGAATAAGGGCTGGACATTAAATTGAGGAGATCACAGGAGTAAGGGCTGGACATTAAATTGAGGAGATCACTGGACTAGGGGCTGGACATATGATTGAGGAGATCACGGAACTAAGGGCTGGACATATGATTGAGGAAATCACTGGTCGAAGGAATGTATCAGTGAGACAGCTGTTGCATGTGTGGAGTGAGGTGTGTGGTGTGTGGTGTGTGGTGTGTGGCATGTTGTGTGATGTGTGGCGTGTAGGTTCTGGTGAGTGGTGTATGAGGCATGTGGTGTGGCCTGTGGCATGGGCTGTGTGGAAACTCACTTGGCGTGGCCTCCGTGTATAGGCAGCTCCTCCACCTGTAGAGCAGACAGACTCTTGCTGATGCTTGACATGTCATTCTGGAAACTCTTCCGACTAGATTTACTCTGTAACACAGTATTGAACCCATAGTTTAGTTCATAGTCTAAGCCACCATTAGCCCAACATTGTAGTCCTACCAGGTGGGAGGACCAAGTTGACCACACACCATAGTAATACACTTGTCATACAAAGGCCTCCTGTTAGCTACTCACTGTCGGGAAGAACAGATTGCAAGTCTTGCGCCAAGGTGAGTTACATACCAAACTTATTAAGGGAAAGCTGAACAATATTTAAGAATCAAGTGACTTCAAATTTTCATTTTCATTAAATGGAGCAGAAACAAAAGTCGATTCCTGACTGATATCAGCCACCACTCTATTGCACCCAAGTCTAGAGTGTTGCTGAAACCCTGGGGCAATGTATGTGTCAGCAGCCAACTACTCGGACTGCAGCACTGTCACATCTCTCTGCCTCATTTAATGATCTCATGGAACTTTGTGGGATTACAATAGCCCAGTCAGTTAATAGGAAACAATCAAAATATCGATATATTGTTATTGGTAAGCACTTAAAGTAAAAAAATCGATTGTTAAATCAGTTTCCGATCAATTGTATCAATTTCAGTTAGGAATATCGATAGTTTCGATTGTACATGCAATGCTGTTGAAATTTGTTTTTCTTTTGATCATGAGCGGTAGTAATTTACATATGGTAATGTGGAAGTTTCTTTTTCTTACATTATTAGGGTATGGAAGAAACAAATCAGTCATATCTCAAACTTTACTTTTTCTTTGTTGTTATGGTTATCACATTCAAAGTTCAACTTCAGTTCCCAGGTTTAATTCAACTCTAAAATCCATCTAAAATGATACAGTGAAAACTTGTAGAATTATCCTATTCGGAATATTCTATAAGTAATACGTTACCACTGATATACCGAGGCTGTTCTCTCCCACAACTGCTGCTATAGCGAAATCTACCACAGAGATCTCAATAACCTCATGCAGCACGTGCGTAGCCACCTAGCTGCCATGTGACACCCTTCACTCGTCTCTTGCGAGAGCAAGTGCTCGGGGGACGGACGGGCTGGCAGCAGCCCAGTGGTAACGTATTACTTATAGAATATTCCGAATAGGAAAATTCTACAAATTACATTAAGTAATACGTTACCACTGATATACCGAGCCTGACTACCACAGTAGGTGGTGGGGAGCACCTACAACCCGAACCTGACTGCTCGTGTTCCTTCCGACCAGCGGAAGTAAACAACAAGGCGGAAGCACTCGATGCGCATGCTCCTAGCTAGGCGTTACCCTATAGGAATACCAAAGCACTGTCAAGCGCATACTGTAAGGCTCAATCGTCATTGCCAAACGATTGGTGACTCCAAACGTCCCCACTGAATAGGTATTTCATCGCCGCAGCGGATGACAACACTGTATCCGTGTGAGCTAAATCTTAGATCAGGTTAAACAGTCGGGAAGAGGAAAATTAATTTCATCTGGACCGTATATCCCAAAGCAAGTGTAAGTCTGTTAGGCCACATGGGCGCGATCAGTAACCTTCAACAGCGAACTCCTCGGAGCCGGCTGAGAATGAGTGGTATTAAGGCCGTCGGCGGGTAAGCATAAGCGTCCATGCCCGTCCAGTCTAACACGAGAGCATTGTGATCGATGGCCCTCGGGTCCAGGACTGGTGATACAAACAATGGGAGTTGATTGTTGAACCTTGTTGCGAACAGGTTCGCACAGCCACTGAAACAGTACTGGGTTTAGCATCCACTCCGTGGGGCTCGGATCCCGAGGCCTCGATAGAGCGTCGGCCAGTACGTTCCGCACACCTGGGATGTGACGGGCGCGTACCTGGCACGGGACACTGTCCACCAGAGCTTAAAACTCGAACGCGAGATCGAGTAGCGAGTGACTGTGGGTTCCCCCCAGTTTGTTCACATAGGACACTACCGTTGTGTTGTCGGTCGCCAGCATGACACAGGCGTCGACGAGACGATGCTTTCACTGATTGACTGCGTTTATCACTGCCTTGAACTCGAGGCAATTGATGTAAAGACCTAGTTCATCTACGCACCACAGCCCCGAGCTCCCCTCCCCCTCTAGATGGGCCCCCCAGCCCAATAGAGAGGCGTCTGTATACAGGTTCAATGTGGCCCGGAAGGGCTGCAAAGAGACTCCTGATAAGACGTTGCAAGGGACCGTCCACCACTCGGAGGTCGGAGCCGATCTGGGAGGGCGACGCTCGCACTATTCTCCTCCTGTGCCAACAACTGGATTAAAAACCGTTGGAGCGGGCGGAGACGACCCCGATCGGTGCAGTCCTGGGCTGACACAAGTAGCCCTAACAGCTGTTCCCAAAAGTGAACAGTCTGTTGCGCCGCTAAGACTTTGGCAATCATCGCCTGAATCTTGTGCCACCGGTCTGGGAGGACAAAGAGGCGATGGGTCACCGTGTCGTACCGACCTCCGGTGAACTTCAAGTTCTGAGAGGGGGTTAACTCCCTCTTGGGGAGATTGACAATCCACCCCAATTGCTCCAAGAGCCGACGTGCGAAATCGAGATGGCGTGACAGGGTGTCCGTCATTCGATTGGCCACTAGCGAGTCGTCTAGGTACGCGAAGTACCTGACACCCCTCCTGTGGAGGAACCCCACTATGAGGGTGGTTAACCGGGTGAACAGCCAGGGAGCGGACGAAAGGCCGATTGGGAGTACAACCCACTCGTAGTGCCTGCCTTGAAAGACAAACCTGAGATACTTATGATGGGACCATCAGTGAATCGGAACATGCAGATAAGCATCCTTCAGGTCGATCGAAGCGAGCCAGTCGGTCGGCATGATCAGAGCTTTCAGGTCCGCCAAGGTCAACATTCTGAACTTGGGCGGCTTGTGCAGGTACAACTCATTGAACGATTTCAGATTGTGAAGCATTTAAACTGAGCAGGCAGTTGTAAATGCGCTGGTCACGGTCCGTGGGAGAACCTTCGACCAGACTGGCTGCTGCAGCCAAGTAAGTGTCTCCGTGCGACATGGCAAGCATGGAGTGCCGAGCGAGGGCGTCCAGCTGCTGCAAGGTAGCTTGCGTTACCATAGCAGCCATTGGGGCACGGACACCCAACCGCTCAACATGGGCCTCCGCGGAAGGACCAGCCTCGGGAAAGGCAAGGTCATGTACCGGGAAAGAACCCCGACCGGAGGCCACCGCGAAGGCTTTCTCCAAGGACGGCTTGATCACGCGCAGCAAGGTTGATGGGGGGAAAGCCTTGTCGAAAGCCTCATCGTATACCTCGGAGGAACCCACAGAGCCGTGGATTCCCCACGGTACCGACAGGGGCTTGGGCATGTCCTCAAAGAGGTCATAAACCATGGCCACGCGATCCTTAACCGATAGCGGGAGCAACGGTTAGGGGGAAGGACCGGTGACCACGGGAGCCGCCGTCGTACCGGTGGACCCCGCATCTGAACCCGCGGCCACCGAAGAGGCCGGGGAAGGAACAGCCAGCAGCCTATCCTGAGATAAGGCCGCCAGCTTGGAGTCCACAAGCTTGGAAAGCAATGCAGAGACAGAATCCCCAGACAGCCCAAGGGCCACCAGGGGATCCGCCGCAGCTGTGGAGGTGGTACGCACAAGGGTACCCCGACCGGGCGAGCCGGCCACCACAGGGGTAGAAACGGACTGTACAGACAGCCGGTAGCGCTCGAACGCCGCAGGCCCCAGACTGTCGCACAGGACGCACTGGGTGTCCCCGCAAGGAACCCTGCACCGCGGGCAATGATCATGGGGATCCCGTGACAATAAGAACTTGTGACACACCCCGCAACGCCGGGTTGCAGGGGTAGAGGGGGTGGACAACGGCGACACATCCATGTCAGACATTTTGGTACTATGAACAAAGGAGCAAAACATGGTTACAACACATGCACCACAAATATTCACAAACGAGCATTTTCACAACGAGCAATGTGAATATAGAACATACACATAGAACATATAGAGAAATAAGTGATGTTAACCCCCAAAGCATACTATAGCAGGGGAACGTAAGACACAACGTGCAGACGAGAACCCCGCGAGTAGATAGAAAAAAGGGCGGGAAATTTTTTTCCGTTTGGCGGGAAAATTATATCCAAGCGTAGCTACCGCAAATGCCCCATACAAGCACAGTTTATTAGTGAGAATAAACCATAATAAATATCACCGAATTGGCCGAGGAAACAGGAACGCTTCAGCAGTCTATAAACACGTCTTGCTAGAGCAAGCGAAGAGACAAGAGTGAAGGGTGTCACATGGCAGCTAGGTGGCTACGCACGTGCTGCATAAGGTAATTGAGATCTCTGTGATAGATTTCGCTATAGCAGCAGTTGTGGGAGACAACAGCCTCGGTATATCAGTGGTAAAGTATTACTTAATGTAATTATCTATAGTTATCGCAATAGTTTCTTTCAATATCAATAGCTATGGCAATAGTGATTTTCAGACCAATAGTCACTTTATGCACGTGTGTGTGTGTGTGGCTGCTTGTACAGGTCCGAACAAAAGCTGATTTTAAGGTGCTTGTCCCTGGGATACCACACAGCATACAGACACCAAGCCAATCAGTCTTTATTTTATCCTCTAAATTTTGAGTGACAGGCAAGGTAACAAGTACGATATCTAAACATCTACAAGCAACCGACCCTCCACTCTCCAGGCACACATGTTTGTAACTCACCCTTGGTGCGCCTGTACTGCTGCCACTTCCGCCAGAGTCGTTGGATCCGTAGGAGAGTTTGCTGCCCTGTCTGGTCATCACCGGAGTGGAGTGTTCTGTGCTGGGACTACGATCTGGGTCACCCTCGCTGCCTGCACACGAGTGAGTGAGTGAATGAGTATGGTTTTACGCCGCTTTTAGCAATATTCCAGCAATATCATGGCGGGGGACACCAGAAATGGTCTTCACACATTATACCCATGTCTAGAATCGAACCCATGACGAGCGAACGCTATAATCACTAGGCTACCCGACCGACCCCACCTGCACACGAGACATCATGGAGTAATAATGACATCAAATACTTTGCTATATTATTTTTAGACTTTGCTATATTACTTTTATGTCTTGAAAATCAATGGTCTGAAAAATACAAACTACAGTAAAAGATGCCATCAAAAATAAACTGAATATCAGATCCTGTAGTCAGATCAAATGTAGAACTGCAAGCCTAAACTGCTACAGCTTGACAGACACAGTGAGTGCATGGGTGTGTTGTTTAAAACTGCACTCAGCAATCTTCTGGCTATATGACGGCAGTCTGTAAATAATTGAGTCTGATAAAATATCAGTGGTCCAGACATTCCAGTGATCGATACTGTGTGCAATGATCCATGCCGCCAGGGTATAATACACGCAATCAACCAAGTCACCGAGCTTGCCCACCCGATGATGGAATGAAACACAAGTAGTTCCATGAGAATCCTCCCCCGAACTGTACCTGGCTTCCTGTCAGCTAGAGGACTAGAGCGGTACTTGAATACACCATCCACAGAGGACTTGAGAGGACTGGGGGCTGAGGGAGAGAGAGGACATCAAGAGATGACACAGTTTGTAGTTTGTAGTAGTTTGTCAAAAAAATATCTTAAATTTCTTTTTCAAAATTACAGGCAAATTTCTGCCTTGCTGTGGCAATGCAGCTATCTACTTGAGATACTTACCACTCTTCGGTGAGCCCATGGGTTTGACAGGGGACATCAAGATGGTCTCTTCCCTAGAAATCTTGGATCGAGCCAAGTAACGCTCAGCTCCAACTAGAGATACACTTCCTGCATCAGAGAGTATTCTGAAAAATAGAATATGTAAAGATACAAATGTTGTCATCAAATCCTTTTGGAGTGACTTTATAGGGAGCAGTAGGAAAAGGCCAAATGGCAGTATGGTAGTCCCAGCAACATTGACATAGACCAACGCTGCAACGCATCACCCCCTGAATGGAATGAATCAGACCCAAGTGTATCACATACATGGTTCTTCATTTAACTTTCAAAGTCATATCTAGCCATTTCATCTCTTCCAGGACTTGTAATGATGACTAATAGTGTGGTGTGGTGTGGTGTGGTGTGGTGTGGTGTGGTGTGGTGTGGTGTGGTGTGGTGTGGTGTGGTGTGGTGTGGTGTGGTGTGGTGTGGTGTGGTGTGGTGTGGTGTGGGACTGACCTCTCCTCACACCACTCCGCCATGGTGACATCGTCAGTCTCCAACTGCAGCAGTGTGGCCTTGGCCTGGTCGACATACAGGGGGTGGGGGGCCATCTTCCCTGCCCCCCACTGAGTGCACCCTCCCATCTCCAGCAGGCACCCCAGCAGGAAGTGTTTCTGCAACAGAGCGGTACATCTACAACATCCACAACATCTACACCTACAGTCATCAAGAGGGGACACCTTCAGGCATCAGGAGAGCACATCTAAAAAAGCTAACTGCTTGGTACTTTTTGAAAGAAATAGAGAACAATCTTCAGGCAAGTTCTGTTCACAGTTCTGTTTTGATGTTCTTCTAAGTTTGTTTGCCTAATGTGGTAAGACAAAAGACAAACTAATATTTCAAAATTACATTACAAGTGAAAGGCATATCTTCACCCTTTGGTTCATACTGAATGAGTGGAGATGGGTTTAACGCCGCTTTTAAACAGTATTCCAGTCATATCACAGAATGACAGCCTTACGTGGAAGGAAAGCCGAAGCGATGCAGATATCTGATGTTTACCACTTCGACGAAACCCACAATCAAAGGTATGGTGTTGAAAAAAATAATAAGGGCGAAACCGGGATTCGAACTCGCAATCAAAGGTTTTGGGCATTGCCAAGGGACACAACTCTGCACAGCGAATTGCGGCGCCTTAGACATCTGGACCATCCGTGCCCCCTCTGAACACAGTGTTTGACTTTCTGTCACAGCAACAAATAAAATATCTTGTGGTTGTCAATTATAACTTTTTTCTGATTAATCAAAATCAACAAATCTCAGTTATTTGATTAAACATTTGATACTTTGTATAACTAATTTAATCAGATATTCAATATCCCTTTTCAACTGAATGCTGAAGCAAAACTGCCATGCAGTTTGATGACTGATACGACTATAAATAAATCATTGATGAGTGAATCCCACTATCAGTACACTATTACAACAACACACAAATGTTCCTCACCATGCCCACAACCAGGAGGAAGCACCTGCCCTTGGGGGTCGGGTAGCCGTGGGTGCCAGGGTGGTGGTAAGTAGGCCACACCTCCTGCCACACGACGATCTCGTCCACAGACTGCAGCGACAAAAGGTGAAGGAGACTCTGATGTCGCAGGAAGAGGTGAAGGTCACTGGAGTCGGCACTCGGCAAGTGGGAGCACAACTGGTAGCACTGGAGGGGAGGAGGTCGGACATGTAAACATGAGATCACTACACCCACTGTACTTGTCATTGGGAGAGGGTGTGTCTATAGCAATATTCCAGTGACATCACGGCAAAGTAAACAATCAAGTCTTGACCAGACAAAACAATGATGTAATAAATGAGCAACGATCCACACCATTTGAGCAAGACCGCCACCGTAGTCATGTAGATAGAGCGTCTGCCCAGAAGGTCGGGCCACATCATACCAAAATATATTAAAAGATGGTACTTGTTGTTACCGGTACTCTGCCTGGCACTATGCATGAAAGGGCTAATACATGGACTGGTCAGCTGGGAGTCAGTTTTCTGTGTCTGGGTGGGGTATTCATGTTAAACTGCAGCAAGGATTCTCAGTGGGGTAGTACTATATAATGGGCATCAGTCCGGATTAGTGCACACACACAGGTTAAACTCCATTTCACCTCACAACATTTGAGCACAACAACAAACGGCAAAGTGACAGAGTGGAACCACCAAATCCCTGTAAGTCCACTCTCACAAGCAGTGGTTACTTTGGACCTTTCTACCCAAGTTCCATTATATGGCAGTGTCTAGGAACACATGGCCATTGGGACAGAACTTTGAACCATGGTAAACACGGACAATGCTTTAGTCAAAGTCTTGACAAAAATGTACATGTCGACACTTCTGATTAGTTCTTTCTGTACACTAAGCCATAACTCACAATTTCTAACTACACGGGTAGAGGACGTAGATGGGAAATCACGTAGTACAGCAACTATAAATAGTGTTCCTCACCTTGTAGAACAAACTGGAACCAAGAATTGTATATGCTCTTCTGTTGTCCAGTTCTTCCTCTTCCTGAAAACATAAAGAAAATTTTTACAAACCTGTAGAGGTTATGAATTCTCTGATGAAATCCTCCTTGGGGCACTTATTGCATTTTCCTGGCTCAAGAAAATCTACATGACATAGTTGTAACCATTTTCCTTAATAAAAATTGTTACCACACAAAAAACTTTGTTTTTGTATGATATACGTCCACCCTTATGGTGCCTCACCCTCCACGGCGCGTCACGCCAAGGGAAGCAACTCTCACCCAAATCACTTTCCATATGTCTAATGCTGACGGAATGTGGGGAGGCGGGTGGCCGTGCCCCAAGGAGGATTTCATCAGAGAATTCATAACCTCTACAGGTTTGTAAAATTCTCTTTCAGATTAAATCCTCCTTGGGGCACTTATTGCATCAAGATAGACTCCTAAAGATAATCTAGGAAGTGGCATCCGTCAGCAACAAGCGTGCATAAAATACATCGTATTTTGATTATTTCAATGAATAAACAAGAGTTCAATAAATGGAACCAACCTTATCGTGAGGCACCACCGTCGAAAGGCGGGGGCTGGAGACAGGGCGTTATCGACCATACACAATGAAAAGAGCCATTCTTTGTGGCTCATCATATCGAGAACTCGAGACACACACACCCCCCACCCCACCCACTTTTTTGAACAAGTGATATTGGGGGCACAGATCACGAGAGACTATAAACCCACACAGAGCTAGGCCAGAGGGTCCCCGTAATCGAAGGAGTGCATGTGCAATTACGATGATTATCGACTAGTAATGGCTGGTATTGTATCGACCGTAGAAGATAAAATCCGGACCGTTACTGAGCAGTGTTATAACCGGTCCCGGCGGTCTAAAATCTCGAAGGCTCAATCGGCTAGAGATGTAGAACTTTGCCCAGTTCGGAGAACTGACTGACCAAACCGAGCACGCTCGCTTGAGTGTTTGTCGAGTTGGTAATGTTTGATGAACGTGCTCGGCTGGCTCCAAATAGCCGCGGAGCAGATCTCCTCAATGGGCAGAGCCGCAGCATACGCTTGTGTCGTAGCCACTGTTCTAACCGAATGAGCCTTCAACTTGGTAGGGGGGTCCCTGCCTTGAAGCGTGTACGCCGTACATATAGTAGAGACTATAAACCGCGAGATAGTTTGTTTGCTCGCAGGTGAGCCAGCCTTCCTACCGCCATAACAGCAAAATAGTTGATTATCCTTACGGATACCCTTAGTTCTGCTGATATAGGACTTAAGGGTCCTGCGGACATCCAAGACATGAGCATGTCTTGTAGTGGTCCCCGACGAGGAAGGCTGTGAAAGAGCAGGTAGCTCAATAGGAGCCGTCACGTGGAAGGCGTGTGCGACCTTAGGACGGTAAGAGTCCGGCAGGCGAATACTGACCCTGTCCCGGTGAAAGACAGTTAGTTCGGGATCGGCTGACATTGCGTGAATGTCGCCTACCCGTCTGCCGGACGTTACCGCCACAAGGAACGCCGTCTTCCAGCTCAACAGCTGAAGAGAGAGAGACGACAGATCCCGAAAAGAAGGACCGGACAGCCAATCAAGAACGATTGACAATTCCCAAGGGGGACTGATCCGCCGGACAGGCGGTCGGATCCTGTCCACACCTGCTAAAAAACGCTGCACTAATGGGTGCGCACCCAAAAGTGCCCCGTCGACGGGGACGTGAAAGGCAGCGATAGCTGTAGAGTACCCCCGGACTGTCGATGCGGCCAGGCCGACATCTAGTCGCGACTGGAGGAACTCAAGTACGGCTACGAGATCTGCAGAAAAGGGATCTGCAATCCTTCTATCGACACACCAGCGCGCATAGCAGGCCCATCTATCCTCGTACTGAACGTTTGTCGAATCCCTCCGCGAAGCCAGTATTGTATCTGCAACTCGTGCAGGAATACCGCTCTCCTGGAGGCGATTCCGGACAGTGGCCAAGCCACCCACTGAATCCTGGGATTCGGGTGGAGGGCCTCGTTCTGGGATAGGAGGTCCGGTCGTAAAGGTAACAGAACAGGAGGCTGAGCCAGAAACCTGAGTATGACTGGAAACCAACTCTGCGCCGACCAAAGGGGTGCCAGGAGCACAAGTAGTCGCGCAGGCTGAGTGGCTAGCTGAGACAGGACCTTGGAAATCAGAGGTACTGGGGGGAATGCCCACAGTATTCTGTCCGTCCAATCTAGCTGGAAGGCGTCCGGTGCCACCGACCTCGGGTCGGGGACTCGGGAGCAGAACGTTGGTGTCTGGTGATTCACCCCAGACGCAAACAGATCCACCTGGAACGACCCGTATAACTGGGAGATAATCCCGAATATCCCCGGGTCGAGCCTCCACTCGTGAGGAGCGAGGATCCGGCGAGACAGAGCGTCCGCACGGACGTTGTCTACCCCCAGGAGATAAACAGGTAGCACCCTGATAACGTGTGAGTCGCACCATAGGAGGAACTGCCACGTCTCTTGGAGAAGCGACGGAGACACCGTTCCCCCCTGCTTCCGGATGTAAGTCATCGCCGTTTGGTTGTCCATCTCTAGACGCACCACTTGGCCACGAAGCAGATCCAGGAAGCGTTGGAACACCAACCTGACCGCTCTCAGTTCTAGCACATTGATATGCAGTTTGATCTCCTGCTGGGACCATAGTCCCGAGGCAGTGTGATCGTTCAGAACGCCTCCCCAGCCGGAGAGTGACGCGTCTGTTTGAACTGTGAGAGACGGCACGGGAGTGTCGAGGGGGAGCCCCCGGGACAGATTCCCGACCTCGGTCCACCACTGAAGGTGTGCATTGAGCCACTGCGGAGTCTCGAGAACAGTCTCGAGATCTTCCGAGTTCACCCAAAGTCGACGGAGCGCTTGTTGAATGGGTCTCATTCTCAAGCGCGCCCGCCAAACCACATCCACTGTCGCCGCCATGTTGCCCAGTAACTGGAGCCATGTACGAGCAGTGTGACTGGCGGACAGAAGGAACTGGGAAGTAACACTTCTGACCTTGGTAATGCGATCTTGTGACAGAGATACAAGTCCGCTCACCGTGTTGAAATTCGCCCCTAGGAAGACTAGATTCTGAGTAGGGCTCAGATCTGACTTCTTGAGATTGACTATCCACCCTAGAGTGATCAGAATATCTATCACTTGTTGTGTAGCTATCTGACTCAGGGATTGCGATAGAGCTCTTAGTAACCAGTCGTCGAGGTACGGATGGCAGAACCGACCTTTTGACCTGGCCACTTGGGCGGGAATCAACATCAGCTTGGTGAACACCCTCGGGGCCGTAGCGATCCCGAATGGTAGAACCCTGAACTGATAACACCTCCCGTCGAAAGAAAACCTGAGGTATTTCTTGAACTCGGGGTGTATGGGTACGTGGAGATAGGCGTCTTTTAGGTCTATTGACGTTAGCCATTCTCCGGTCTCGACAGCTGAGATCACCGAGCGCAGTGTCTCCATCCTGAAGGACGGTACCTCTATAAGTTTGTTCAGCCTTCTCAGATTGAGAATAGGCCTGAACCCTCCGTCTTTTTTGGTGACTAGGAAATATGTCGAGTAGAAGCCCTCGCTTTCCTGTCCCACGGGAACCGGTTCGATCGCAGCCTTCATAAGAAGTGCGTCGACCTCGGCACGGAGGAATTCCGCCCTCTCCAGGGTAGCAGGCACCGGAGTGTGCTTTATCCCGGAGAAGGGGGGCGGATGATGTTTCCACCGAGGCAAATGGCCATCCCTTAGAGTGGACAGGGTCCAGGGATTGGATGTGACTGTCTCCCATTCCTGCAGGAATAGAGCCAGTCGGCCGCCTACGGGGACATCCGGCTTGAGGCAGCGGACCCCGGCTGTCGGCAGTTCGAAAACATGCGACCGTGGGTCCGCCCGGGGCGCTTCGGGCGCTAATGGGAACCCGATGGGTTCCCGGCCCCGCGAAAAGGCTGCTGGCCTCGACCAGCTGCCCTGCCCCGGCCCCTGCCTCTCTTGCTCCTCCCGGCGCCCTTACCTGAAGGAAGCGGCTGCTTCCAAGCAGGTGCAGACTTCTGACCCGGCGCGTCAGCGTAGGAGGAAGCAAGTGGAGAGGTCCGCTTACGCGGTTTAACGCATGGTACCTCCAACAAGGCCTTAGAATCCTTGATGGAGGCATACAACTGTGCAGCCTCTCGGACCACCTGCTGAGCCCCAGGGAAGAGGGTGGCACCCATCTTATAAGGCAAAGCAAGTAGATCCTGGCGTGTGGAAGCCGAGTATTTGGATACCGACATCCACAGCCTGCGCATGCCCATGACTGCGCACATCATCTGCGAGGCACAGCTACGAATAGCGTCCCTCGCAAGATGACTATGTACCTCCGTAAGTTGCGCGGCCAACTCCGAAGAGTCGGCCGGCCCCTCTCCCGCTAACTCCCTCTGTACGGCCGACAGATAAGGAGTGTACGGACACCCGGAGCTGCTGACATGCGTTACGATATTGCTCCTCGAAGCAAACGTAAGCAGCCTTCAGCTCCGTACCGCACGCGGGAAAGGGTGGCAACCGCCGGCCCTGCTTGACCTTAGCCAAGTTGGGGGTCGAAGACCCCCCCAGGGTAACGGAGGTCCAGACGCATTCGTCCACCACCGGTACCTCAAAATCACCATCCTCTGCTAACGGGTACCGCTTAATAAGTTCGGGCAGGTCGAACTTCCTGCGGGCACCCGACAACAGAGGGTTGATGACTTCATGCACCAATGAAGACAGAATATGGAGCCGCACCTGGGGCGCCTTGCTCGGAGCAAAAGCGTCCCCCGGAAGGCGGAACTCAGTCGGATCCGACTGGGGCATGGGCGCAGCCACCTGAGGCAGTACCTGGACAATCTTGTCCCGTACATGCCTCAACGAGGAAACGAAGGAAAATATTCCCGAGGTCTCCGAGTCGTCTCCCCCCTCCTCCATCCACTCCTCCTCTCTCGATTCCGAGCCGAAATTAATCGACTCTTCCCCGAGAGAAGAGGCAGACGAAGTCGGAAGGGGACGCCCGAAGGCCTGGGCCTTCGCATCCCCGGGCTGCACCCGGCCCGAAGCCGAGTCCCGGTCCCGAGGTGCCGGGGGTTCAAGGGAACCCACCTGGCTCTGGGCTAGAAATCCGCTAGAGGAAGCCTCGGCCTCGGAAGAGGCGTCTGGCTCCGCTAGGGAGAACTGTGCGTCGGTAGTGAACGGGCCAGTGCCCGCCACCCCTCCGCTGGGGAGCGACCTCGAGCCGGCGCCGAAGCCCGGTCTGAGTTCGTCCCCGAGACCAAGTGGCCTGCCTCGGCCGACGCCGGGCATATCACAAGGTCTCGAAGCCGCGTCCGGCGCCGACAACAGGGAAGGCTCGGTCCGCAACTCCTCTCGGAGCTGAGACTTTACCTCCTCCATCATCGACGCCATCTGCGACCTCAACAAGGCAGAGATGTCTGCCAAAGACGGTGCAGGAGAGGGTGCAGTGATTGTGACGGGGACCCTAGAGCCTTCTCCCCCGGCCCCCGGGGAGGGAGCGGAGGAGACAGTCTCAGCTGCCTTTTTACCCTTTCTTACTTTTTTTGAGGGGGGCGGGGCGGTCTTTGCCGATCTAATGTCCACCCCCGCCTTCAATAGACCCTTAAAGTGTAAGAGGTCCACATTTCTCTTTTTCTGCGCCCGTGGTGTGAATGCAACACAGATCGGGCATGACCCATCGTCATGCCCGTCTTCGGCCAAACACTTTATGCAGGTATCATGCCTGTCTTGGGGGGGAATCGAAGCCGAGCACCCCCTACTCAGTTTGAAGGTCTGTAAAAAAGACCGTAATTTTTGAGTTTGGCGGGAAGGGTAATAAAGTGTATCAGTGCGATTGAAAGATCGGAAAGATACGTGCATAAATTGTGTAACTAGAAGCAAAGGCGTAATTTAGAATGCGATTGGTAACGCGATACTAATAGCCAATGTCGTAGTATAATTATAACACCAAAGTGGGCGTGTTACGCGCGAAGGTGTAGAAAACCCGTAAAAAAGGTAAGTGTAATTTAAAATAATTAACACACCACCTTGGGTTTATTTAAAGGAAAAGATTGTAGGCTAAAGCCCGATGATATAGATTAAAAAACCGAAGCCGTTTTTGATGGCCCTGGTGTTACATATATCATACGTGGCACTACAAAATGGACGCTACGACGGCCTTATTTCAAAGGTATCGTACACGTGTCACATAATTACAACTTTATAACTTTACAATGCGAGGTATTACGCCTTTGCATGAAAGAAATGTACCATACATACAGTTTGGTCTGCCATGGTTCTTGTACGAACGATTATCTTGTCTTTATTTTGTCTTGAAAAAAACAGCACGTCTGTCTTTGTCAGATGACATAAGGAAAGTGATTTGGGTGAGAGTTGCTTCCCTTGGCATGACGCGCCGTGGAGGGTGAGGCACCATAAGGGTGGACGTATATCATACAAAAACAAAGTTTTTTGTGTGGTAACAATTTTTATTAAGGAAAATGGTTACAACTATGTCATGTAGATTTTCTTGAGCCAGGAAAATGCAATAAGTGCCCCAAGGAGGATTTAATCTGAAAGAGAATCAGATCATACACACCTTTCTTTAACCCATACTTCTTAAACATCTTTACAAAATTCAAAACTATCATTTTGAAACTCTGACATACCTTATTTAACTTTATCCTAGTCCTTGAAAACACAGTTTCCCTTGGAAAGTTGTCAGTGATATTCAATAAATGATGACCCATATCAATACACACTATTTGTACAAGCCGTTATAATCATTCAGTGTCAGCCATTAACTACTGGAAACATGTTTAACTCACCATAAACTCATCAAAATCTGCTGCTTCAAATTCACTGAGTATTTCATCACAAATGAGCTGAAAGGAAAATATGAAAAGTTAGTAAAAATTTAGATATTTTTTTACATTTGTATACCGGTACTTATCCTGCATTACTCCTTGATGCGTTTGCTGCTTACTTTTGACAGAAAACAAGCTGCAGGATACCAGCTGAGAAAGAAAGTTGTTTCGGTGAAGTGTGATGCAGGACCCAGCAGCTGAGGCCATGTGACTCTGATGCGATGACGTCATGTAAACTTAATATTACTGGTGCTGCTCCAACAAATTGTCCAGTTTGGGATTAACCCGTGGCATTGTTTATTGCCTTTCTTGCCTAAATCTGCCCTCCCGTGTGATGGGTGGAGGTCATAGTACGTGTATTTGTGCTTTAAATGTTCAGGTTTGTTCGTGAAACTTTTGTCAACCTTTCTTCATTCATGTACGTATTCTGTTTCTGTCCAAAGTAAGCAGTAAATGCATTAAGGAGTAATGTAGGATAAGTGAAGCACAATACAAATTTTATGCAAAGCCCTTTCACTCAAAAATGCCAAATAGGCATGCCCTACAAATTTATATCTGTGAAGTAAATGTGAAGAAAACAAGAAGGGGGTACTACAGTGAACACGTTAATCTGGACAGAACTGTTCACTGTAGGGCAGGGGTGCGGAAAATTTAAAATCCCAATCAGACATTTGCATTTAGGCCACGCCCCCCCTTGTAGATAATCTTCATTGTGTTACAACTGCAGACAGAAACTGCTCAGTCCTAACTGTTGATCATGTACGGTCAAAATTTAAGAATGCCCAGACAATACATTTTAAAATGTCCGGACAGAAAAATTTAAATGTCCGGTAAGCAATATTTTAAACCGGACATTTGAGATTCCCAATCGGACATATCCGGCGCATATGATGGTTTCCGGACCCCAGCTGTAGGGTGCAGTGAGGTGAAATGGGGTTAACACCACATTCACGACTACTGCACCTAGATAGCGACATGCATGTGTCGGGGTAAAGTCCCGGAGTCTGATCACCCTGTTGTTTTAAACACATACAGCATTTGTGGCTTCTAGGTTGGACTTAAACTAACTCACCTCCTGATCTTGAGCCAGGTGCAGACTGCGGACTGCAGAGAGGGATGACAAGAGCTTGGAGCTAGACGGGAGATCACTGACAGGGGAGAGGTGTGCAGGTCGTGGTGTGAGGAGCTGGTGAAATGTGAGGGCAAACAGCTGGTCCAGCTGCTCCTTATCACAGTCTCGAAACGCTCTGCAATGAAGACAGCAAACATGACATCAAACAACCTTAACATGTTAATACAAATCTAGTCAAATCTAGATGTTTTTCATATTTCTATACTTATCCTGCATTACTCCTTAATGCATTTACTGCTTGTACTTGGCAGAAAGAAGAGCTGAGTGATGTCTTGCTGAAGAAGCAATTGTTTCAACTGGATGTGTGGCTAATCCCATCACACAGCTCCCACTGACCACGGAAGTGATGACGTCACATCACTGCTGTCACTCAGCGAGAACAGTCACCTGTTTTGAGCTCTCAGCTTTATCCATTACAATTCTTAATAAATGTAAATGCTTTTAGGAGTAGTGCAGGATAAGATTAATAATCAATTCTTCTCCAGTCAGAAGCTTGAGTTTAGTGATATATCTTTCTGTCTAGTATGCGCAGCTGACAACTGTCTACATATTATTACTAATATCTACTAAGAATGACGCATTCAAGCTGTCAAAGCTATCAGGGTACAATTACCAACAATTAGCCAGGGTGCTGTTGCACAATCCAAACTTAGCGCCATGACTGCCCTAAGTCTATGTTAAGGTATTGGAGTTAGAGTTGAGATCGCTCTGTACAACGGCCATCTTCCCAAGGCAAGGGAGTTAACTGGCTGTAAAAGTCCAGTTTCCACCCTTGTCGTACTAGGCAGCCATTTCATTGCTCGATTGTTGCACCACCTGCGGCTATTACGAATTATGTCCATTCTAGGTCCCTCCTGCTGACCAATCAGACTCCACCTCTCATATCACTTGCATGAGGTATTAGGACGTATATCATGTATGAATTTTCTACCATCTGTCTGGCGGCAGCAGAGCTCAAATTCGAGTAAACACATTACAGGGGGCTGCGTAATTAAAGAGTAAGAGCCTAGCAGCTCCTGCTATCTCACCGGCCTAGGCCTCCAAACATGAACTTGAGCAGCTTGACGATGTCTTCCATCAGCTGGTTCAACAGGGCAAGCGGCACTCTGAAACATGATCAATACCAAACAAGATGAAGAAGCATTGAAAGCATGATACAGTGGTACATTTGTATGAGGTCCATCACTCTCTAGAACATGAATCAACATAAACAAGTAAGTACAGTGGTTCTAATGCTGAACAGTAGTTCAATTAGTTACAGCACATCAGCCTGCATGGGAGAAAAGACCGAAGTGAGGCAGGTTGTGAGGCAGATACTGGCAAGCTTCTCACAGCAATAGCCCACTCGTGGAGCTCTCTATGCTATTGCTGCAACCAGCTCGATACTGTGATAGGTGGCTACAACCATGCTTGGAATTGAACTCGCAACTGACTGATCCTTATGTTTACAAACAAGCGATAACAGCCGTGACGCCATCTTCCCGAGGCAAGAGAGTTAACTGACTATGAAAGTCCAGTTTCCACCCTTGCCGAACTAGGCTAGTATTATGGAGTTAGATTTCGGCTGGACTAACGAGTCTATGCATAGTCCAATCAAAATTGTGCACCGAAATTGAAATTCTGTTCGTAAACTGTCATGCAAAGCATGTGCACCGCCAACTCGTAGTCAACGGATATTTTCCAAATCTTTTCAAGTTTTTAATCAAGGTGCTCACATGATTTGATGCACTTCGCGATGTAAGAACCATTTTATCACAACATAGATCTTGATTGTTGATCAGATCATCTTGACTGGGCGCCGCCATTTTGTTTGAAGCAAATGCAAGTGATACGAGAGGTGGAGTCTGATTGGTCCATAGGAGAGGCATAGAAGGGACATAACTCGTCACAGCCACCGGTGGCGCTACGATCGAGCCCAGGATTTTGGCAAGGGTGGAAACTGGACTTTTAAAGTCAGTTAACTCTCTTGCCTCGGGAAGATGCTGTGACGCCAAATAGTCTCACCCCAGCTAAATTAGTTTCTCTGTTTGTCAATTTGAATTTCTATTTCATTTCAACTATCATGTAATTTATATAGTAAGAATGTAAGGAGGGACTTTGGTGATTTTTCATTAGTCTGCAATCTCGAAGCAATCGAAAAGGTAAATTCATCAGGGAAATCTGGTCAGTCTTAAACTTTTTCAAAATCCGCTATGATGGCATTTCCAAAGACGTTTACAAAAGTATAAACGTTACTACATTTTGGGTTAGAGGGCATATTTTAAGATTCTGGTTATGGCTGCACCCACACTGATGGCAGTAATGTTACAAGAGTGTAACAAATGTGTCACGTACTTGCTTGAGATACGGGCAGCCAAGGGGAATAACTCTGCATAGTCTTACTTAGATATAGCCAGTGACCCCTAGTGAAGGAAGCATTTCCCACCTGTCAGCTGGAAGGCCAAGAACCAGCACATCTTTGTTCTCAGAACTGTAGGCAAGATGGATGACTTCACTTTGATGCTGGACGGAAGAGCTGGAAAAACATGTTTATTAACCTTACTTATGAAAACCACTTCAGTGAAACATATATCAGTGTCTTTACAAATTCAAAAGAAAGTAAGACTGAAATTAATCTAATATCATGCTCCAAAACATGATTACAAAAATGCAATGCCATACTTTTAAGAAAAATATCTTGCTTTGATCTAAGAATTCTTACTTGTAACCATGGTAACCACCATCATTGACCAAATAAAACTGTAACCTACATTAATGAAAGATGCAGGCAGGACTGTTACATCTTGGACCATGTTAACAATGACAACACAACACTAAATAATTTGTGCCTGACAGCATGATGAACCATCTTGGTCCAATGGACAGACACAATTCATTACTCAATAATGTCACAAAATATAATGCTCCAACAAGTCAGCTCAAACATTTGTTCATTGGCTAGTTTGTTTGTTTATTGCCCCATCAGCAATATTCCAGCTATATGCCAACAGTCTGTAAACAATCAAGATTGAACCAGCCAATCCAGTGACTGAAATGAGCATTAATCTACACAATTGGGATATGATGACATGCATCAAACAAGTCAGCGAGCCTGACCACCTGATCCCGTTAGTCGCCTCTTACAACAAGCATTGTCACCTTTTATGGCAAGCATGGGTTGCTAAAGACCTATTCTACCCTGGATCTTCATGGGTCCTGAGGCCATGTGACTCCGATGAGATGACGTCACATAAACACCACTTTACTGCTTGTCACCAGACAGACATGCTGCTCTAATAAATTGTCCAGTTTGGGATTAACCTGTGGCATCTTTTATTGCCTTTCTCGCCTAAATCTGCCCTCACCTGTGATGGGCGGAGGCCTTAGTACTTGTATTTGTGCATTAAATGTCCAGGTTTGTTCATGAAACTTTTGTCAACCTTCCTCATTCATGTATGTATTCTTTTACACCCAATTCCATTAGTCGCCTCTTACCACAAACATAGTCGCCTTTTACGGCAAGCATGGGAGCGGCTCTTACAGCAAGCATTGGATAATCAGTAATCAGTCTTACTTTTTAGCCTTAAAGTTAGTGACGTCAACTAGCGATGAGTTGATGGTGAGGAACAGACCCCGAATACCAATCAGTTTGTTGTTCTCTGGGGGATACATGTACACAACTTCGTCCTGGAACAACAAAAAATGGTTGTCATGGTAGTCGTCAAAACAAGAATGAGAAAAACTGTACAAAACATGATCATGATGAGGCATGGCAACTACTTCTACTTCTTGTGCAATAACATTATTCAATGCATTCTAAATGTGGCACGGGTGGCCCAGCCGTCTAAATTTCCGCAATTCCCTGTGCAGAGTTACGTCCCTTGGGCACGCCAGAAACCTATGATTGTGGGTTCGAATTCCGGTTCGCTCCGATTATGTTTCTAGGTTTGTCAGCACCATAACCGTGCTCGTGGGTTTCACCAAAGTGGTAAACATCTGAGACCTGCATCACTTCAGGCTTTCCTCCGACATTAAGCTGACATGCCGTGATATAACTGGAATACTGTTAAAAGCGCCTTAAACCAAACTCACTCACTCACTCTCAATGTGGCTTTGACATGCTGAAAGCATAAGAGAAACAAAACTAGTCTTCAGTTAAATCAACAGAACTTCTGATAAACAAACTCTACCATAAACATTATTAACACTTCAACAAGAGTCAGAACCAGGTATATCCATAACAGGAGATGATACATTGTCGACAGAGATTAAGATTTGGTACCACCGGTCAACGATCTACAATATTCCATAGCAAGGACCTTCAAACAAAACCCTATATCACAAATACTCAAGGCAGAGGTTCGAGACACCATTCTTAGTTTAATGAATGGCCGCGCAACATGGCGACTTCATAGATGAAGACTAAAAAGTCTCCTCAGACGAGCTAATCCACCCTCCAGAAAGAGAGTGAGTGAGTGAGTGAGTATGGTTTTACGCCGCTTTTAGCAATATTTCAGCAATATCACGGCAGGGGACACCAGAAATGGGCTTCACACATTGTACCCATGTAGGGATTTGAACCCGGGTCTTCGGCGTGATGAGCGAATGCTTTAACTGCTTGGCTACCCGACCGCCCCCTCCAGAAAGAGAGGGGCTCAGTTGGAGGTAACAGGACCTGGTGCGGCATCTGTAGAATGAAAGGTAGACTAGAAGTTGAAGAAGAAGAACTTTGAAGTAAGACTGTAGAAATCACTGTCATGAAAGAGAAGGGTTCCGTACTCTGCTGATCGCGGTGATCCCAACTCATGGGCTAGATAGGTTGACAAGGTTCCTGAGGAGCCACCTGGTGGGAATGCAATCCTGAGTGTGATGATTGGGAGCATCCCCTGTGGTAGTTGAGCGGAAACAGTAGAACAATTGTCCTACTTCAATTGATTGTAGGAGCAGAACTCGTAGATTCCAAGTGTGGTATCTTAAAGGCAGGACAGTGGTTGGTCGCTTGAACGAGAGCGGGATCGGTCAAAAGGACAGAACGAACATCAGCTTGGATAAGAGATTGTGGAGCGTTCGAAAGGTCGGGATTGGAAATATCACCCATGAGCATGATGAGGAAGCTGTCAGAGATGGTTATCATCAGTGACGGACAGTACAGGTTCTTCTGATTGGATTGAAGATCCAGGTTTCTTGGATGATTTCTTGGTTGAATCCTTGGGCTTAGAACAATGGTCTGATAATCTACGACATCACTGAAGATAGGCACCCTGCACAACGCGAGTTCAACAAACACTGTCCGCGACAATCAGAACACAAGGAGTGAGGGTCTGACGTTGAATATGTGCATTGGCATTCTTTGCATGCCAACAGTTGTCTGTCCTTTTTACCCATGTTTGTAGGCTGTGTATCTATTCACAGAACTTGGCAAGAAGAAAAACAAACTTCTCTTAGGTGACAAAACATGTCAACACACAGTGGCGATGAGAAAGAGAAGAGTTGGCAGAGGTATACACATGGTCAGCTCGAGCAAGCTTGCCAGACACAGAGCACATAATTGACCTAACTGCTGGACGTAACCATGGAGATGCATAGGTGTGTTTTGGTGAATGTTTTTATTTTAGAAGCTGGAAACATGGTTCAAGCATATTTCCTCATAGGATCGAAGAAGAAATGCAAAGTATGAGATAGAATAAGTTTAAAAATTTACTATTACAAAATATATCTGTATTTTCATCAGTGAGAAAGGGTAACATGACCTTCCTAAAAACAAGGCATTGCCCTGAGTCCCACCCTGCCATGCAGCGGTCAAAAGTGATATTGCCCTGTGATTATGCCAATGGATTCAAAGAAGAGAAATAATTTCAGCAAAGCAGAGAGAGAATAACGCAACACTTGTTGTGCATCATCTCCTCAGACCTGTGACATCTGATTCAATTATTGTTGAATTTGAAATATACCTGTTTTTTTAATTATGCAAAAAGAGATTATTGACCACAATTCAAGCAATAACATGTTTTATGGACCAAAGAAACTGATATTGACCTCGGCCCCTGGTCTCGATGAATTTCAGTTTCATGGATCCATAAAACATGATTTTGCCCTCATAATATTTGACAAAAATCCTACTTTCCACTTTTTCAGTTTGTAATCAGTAATACATTGTAAAAAGCAGTGTCTTGTGCGTACAAAGTACACCTAACTAGTCTCAGTGACAGAGAGATTAGTGATGTCATTTGACTGTACCATCATGGAAACAGATGTGTCACAAATGTTGGCATTTTATTGCAGCGATTTCTCCTGTGAAAGCCAGTTTTGGATGATAAATGTGCTATGTAATATCTACATCTAGTGGCCACGCTTTTGTAATAAGAAAAATGTCTGACTATTTTCTTATGTTTGTTTACCTGTATTTATCATGTGAATCATACTTAATAGCAATGATCGCTGACATAGACTAATCTGGGGTGGTTCTCACCATGGTAGAGCTGGAATCCTCTGATGACTCGGTCAAGGTGAGATACAGCAGAGTGTACGTGGAAGCACTCAGGTTCTTCTGTCCTTCCTTCACACTATGGCCAGTCACTCGTCTATAGATGTCATGTCGGGGGAAGCGTGGCCGCGGATGGACTGGGGGCTTGGGGCCCACAATCACAGGGGACTGAAGTGTCAGCTTCACATTCTACAAACACACAATGAAACATTAACAAACAGCTTGGTGACATGCTCAGGAGACGTACAAGTATTACCATGATTACCATGATACAGTAGGTAAATTTAGGCAGCAGATAATCATGAATACCGTATTTGACGTAATAAGCGCCCATGGCAATATTTGCTAATATATTGGCTAGTGGATAATCCCAATTGACACCCATTCAGATTGATCAATGTACACAAGACTTATTTATTCGTGTACAATACATGTGTTATTTGCATCCTTAATGATTAATAATGGGAAATTAAATTCTGGAAAAATATATCTGTCGTATATAAACATTTCAGGCTGTCAGCATAAACCACGAAATTCAAGATCTTTCAACTCTGTTGTTCATGTTGTTTTTCACCAAAATAATATTCTAATAAGAGCCCCCTATTTCTAATTTTGAGAGCGCCCCGGGCATTTATTATGTCGAATAAGGTAACTATTATTATATTCCTGATCATGAAACTTCAAAACTTTTAAAGAGCCATATCAAGACTCAGATCATATTTTGTACAGGTAATTCAGAAATAATAGGATAAGCCCGATAGGCACCAAGTGCCTTCTTCATAAAAATTATTTAACACCTGTCCCTTGACACATGCTAAACATGCTAAAGAGTCTGAACCAATGATATATACAAGAATATTCCTTTGTAATAAAGATGCAGTCATAAATCAATTTATCTTAGCATTAGCCATATTTCTATTATATCGGCCATGTTAGCAATAATGTGATAAATACCATGAATACCAGTAACCATGGTACAAATTCAGTATTTTTCAAATACAATCAATGTTCAAATGTCAAATATGAATACTAGCACAAACCTTTTTTGGCTGGATAACCTGGAAGAGCTTGTCAATATTTAGCCACGTAACCTCATTATCATTCACTGAGATCAACATGTCACCTGAAGGAGACAGCAAAAAAACACTTGAATAATAATCATTGACAGTCACACATCAATGCATCACGACACAGTTCTGTTTATTATATTTTGTCCAATCCAAACAGCAATGTTTACAACAATAAGGTTAGCTTGGTTAGAACATGTAGAACGGACTTACATAACAATGACAATAATTGAGTAACATTGCCTGATTCACCATGTCATCATTATTCCATATTATGTTTATGTCAAGTGGACAGACATTACCGTGGTGATGAAACAATGACCATGATCAGATGATGACAGTGAGTGAGTGAGTTTGGTTTTACGCCGCTTTTAGCAATATTCCAGCAATATCACGGCGGGGGACACCAGAAATGGGCTTCACACATTGTACCCATGTCGGGATTCGAACCCGGGTCTTCGGCGTGACGGGCGAACGCTTTAACCACTAGGCTACCTGACCGCCCTCAGATGATGACAACACTCGTACAGTCCGCAAATTTTGCCACAATTCTAAAGCCCGACTGCAAGTCAAGTAAAATTCTGTTCTTTCTAGTAAAGTCAGCTAATAAATGCCACATGATAACCTGATAACAGTAAAATCTACTCCAAATGAAGCTAATAGCCAAGTTCGAATGAGTGGACTCCGAGGTTAGGGCATAGGCTGCTGGAAGTCCTGAGAGGCTAACAATCGCAACTGGGGCAAATCCTGAATTCACACCTAAATCTAATGATCATGTACACACATGGTACATGGTCCAGTAACTAAGTCAATTCAGCTTGGTCAGTAGAACACTGGTAAAGGAACAACTGACTATATCACTGTATCATATATACAGCATATCATGTGGCATGCATGAATAATGGGTTTTAATTAAGTCTAATGGTTTTAACGTGTTTACCATTTCACATTTACAGCAGGGACAGTGATCAATTGAATTTCTTTCAAAGAACCGAATAATGTGACATTTTTGGGGCACATGCATCATCGAATGTACCATGTTGTGCAGCAGTAGATACATCACAGACAAAACTAAATCATACCTCTGTGTATCTTCCCAGACCTCTCAGCAGCCGTTCTGGGCGCCACCCCTTGAACAATGACCTTTCTGTCTTTGAGGACCTCCCTCGACTCACTGTTCCGTGACCTTCCTGATCCCGGTTTGTGATTGAATTGGAACAAAATGACACCGAAGAGTTTCTCACACAACAAGACCCCTCCATCATCTCTCCTCACTGTTCGGAAATCTGGCACAAGAACAACATCCTTCCATCTTTCAACATCGTAACTTTTTCGTGATTGAACTGACTCCGACATATCTCTGTATTCCTCAAAACTATCCATGCTACCATGGCGTACAAAATGGCTACCACTGCCGTGACTGCTACCACTAGTCCTATCATTGAAGTTTTCATCCTTCCACATTTTTCTCTCATCAGCATCTTTCCCAAAATGTCTGAAGTCAGTAACCTCCTCATTCCTATGAACATCTTCATTTCTTTGGTTTCTCTGCGACAGTTTTCCTCTCTCACTGAGAGCTCTGTCTTGACTAGATATACTGCCACGATCACAGTGTTTCTGAAGTGAGTCCACATCTCCTTTGGGAATATCAGGATTGCCATGTCCGTTGTGTTGATTTACTGACTCGGGTGCAAATCTTTGGAAGTACGGGTAGGAGTCATTTGTGACCTTGTCTGTCCTGCTGGGCTTCTCCACATCCACATAGTAAACATCCCCTTGTTTCTGGTTCACATATGGAGTCCAACTGGCACCAACTTTGCTGAAAATAAATCAATTAGCAACTATTTATCATGTTTAATATTGTGCTAAATCAATTGATGGAACTAGATGAGATAGTCACCATGGCTAAACATGCTAGAACAACCCCCGGTCGGGGGAAAACAAGACAAATTAATTGCAAATAAGGTCAACTGAAACATTGTGAAACAGAATAGTAATCCGAATAATAAACATGGGTTTTTTAAATTACCTAATAGACTATACCCAATATGAGTGATAACAAGTGAATAAATACTCAACATGCTCTATGGAAAAATATGATCGATCGATGGTCATTATGACAGTCACTGAATAGTTTATTTACAGATTACCCCCATATAGGTGGAATACTGCCTAGTGCAGCATTAAACAACAAACACATATGCACATTAATTACAATTCTTAGGACTAGAACCTGGGTCTATGACATTTAACATAGTGCACATAAAACGCTAAATGGTGTTATTTATAGGCCCCTAAAACAGTTTGATTCGTTTCAAATGTTGACAAGGTAAATACCGTGAACAGGTAAGTGAACAATAAATTAAACATCCATGGTTTTACGTAATCAATACCCAACGTCACTATGTTGATAACAAATGTTTTTTTTAAATATTTCATAAATCTGATATTTACTTTTCTTGATCATGCTGTTATGGACCTGTCATCAACATTGCAACAAGAAATATACACAAGCTCGAAGTATTGATTTTTAAAACATGTTGAAACATCGGGAATTCTAAAAAAGCCAGTTAGATGTCTATAATGGCCTTGCAAATGCACGTATGTATGGTTTGAAAGCGTTGTTATGAAACACATAAATAATCCTCCCTACTCGGAACCCCCGTTGTCTCTCGGTGATATTCTGGCAGACAAGTTTTCGTTCCCCGGGTGCGATATGACGTTTTGTCGCTCGGCCCGGGGATACTGTCGCGTTTTCAGTCGTCCATCACTGCCATCATATATTTCTTGCTCGTTTTCAGGATCATAAAACGGTCCAATCGAAGGGAAATAGGCCATGTTATTTCTTATCCATAACTGAAAAGTTTTCTTAATTTACATATTGACCTGTCCATGGCGGCCATACTGTTTACATCCGGGGACTGGTCACCCGAATAGCTTTTTTCCAATCACAAGCATGAGAGCTTTCAAGGGACAAAACTCTTACATTACCCCGTGCGTCGTGATTCATTCAACAGTTTAGAAGCTCACTTCGCTGACTCGCATTCCTGAACTGCAATAGACACCTTTACTTTTCTTTACAAAATCCCACGTGCATCACCTCACTTTTTCGTAAAGATTTCTTTTCCCTTTATAGATTTTATAACATTTAGACTACAGGGAAAAGCAGTTAAATTAATCGATGAGATTCTCATTGAATAATATTATGTAATACTTTTTTAGTGTGTGAGTGAGGTTTTACGCCGCTTTTAGCAATATTCCAGCAATGTCACGACGGGGGACACCACAAATGGGCTTCACACATTGTATCTATGTCGTGAATCGAACCCAGGTCATCGGCGTGACGAGCGAACGCTTTAACCACTAGGCTACCCGACCGCCCTGATACTTTTTTAACGATTATAAGACTCTTCATCACGAGAAAAAGCAAAAAATGAACGAGTCAGCCTAAGATTGAAAAATACGATAGATTAAACAGTACAATAATCATGTATGTTTTATAAACCACGTATATTTCCATGAAACCTTACTGTTTTTACTATCAAATACTCCCCTCCCCTCTTTACAGAATTTCTAATTGCTGTGATAAAAACACAGTTATAGGAATTCCTAAATTTATCTAAAATACGATGTACAAATAAGTTATGGGTGTTTGCAATATTCAAAACCCAATTACTTTTTTCAGCATGCGTACAATGGAGCTAATTTCCGAAACACAATTACGAGCTAGTTAGAACCCTTATATACATCTTTAAAAATACATTTTTAAAATCTGAAAATATTTACTCATTTTGGGAAAAAACCGATAGAGTGATGAATTAGATAAGTGAAAAAATATTGGTTACTCAATGAAAAATGTTATAACCCAATTAAAAATAGAAACATTCGTGTAAAAACTCATATAAGAATCTGGGTATTATCCCCATTCGTGTGTTGTAGACACTGGATATTATTTAATTTGAAAAGTCATAACGCCCGAACCATTCTAAATTCAATACTTGTAGGCATTTATATTTTCAAAAGGCGAGTTGACGCATTCTCGAATAAGGTTTGAAAACTATACAGGACCTTAACATATTAAACATATGAACGGTCTGTAAAACATATATTATGTATTCGTACTATGTATACACGCATTGAAGGTGACTTCAACTTGGATTGTTTCGCTGACTTTTGTTTATTGAAACGGTTTTAACCATCAGGTATGTATATACAATATACAATCGTTTAGGAACAGATTATGTGTTTAATGCAGTCCCAACAATAATAGTGATATTAATTACTTTGATTATTGTAAGAAACAAGAAATGCTTTAACGTCCATGTAAGTTTTAAAACGTTTGCAGTTCACGTTGTAGCGTCATGATTATTATTATTAAAAGAAAGCAGTTTGAAGAAAGCGGATATCATCACGGCTTCTTACATTTGAATACTGATGGCAGATTTAGACTGACGGACAAAAGAAAGTATACACTCTTTTTTGATGGTGGCTAAAATAAATGAAATGGTTATTCGATGGTAACGTAATGGATACAGAGGGGTACGATATCACGCCATCAATCAAGTCACCGAGCCTGACCACCCGACCCATTTGGTCGCCCCTTACGCCCAGCAAAGGTTGCTGGGGAACTATTCTAAACCGGAATGCCCACGGGACTCACGTCAATATACTGATGCGGTGTTTAGTTTTCTGGACATGCATCTATGTATAACATTATAGCAATAATTATAAGCTACATATGCTAGTTAAATAGGATTTGTTACGTCAGTTTTAGTTTTAAACAATGGAAATTTGACGAGACAGTCGCACTATTTGATTGACTGCTTTCATCTCTTTTTGTGTGTGCATAAATTAATTTGACAGATTTTATTATACTGAAAAGGGTAAGGAAAAGTTCATTCATGTACAGTATGTCCTACCTCCGTGACAGTATCGTCCGCACGGTGTCGAAGTCCCTCTGTCGGCTGGTCGGTCTGCATCTGGCTATGGGCGTCTTCACGCCAAACATTCTACACCGGAACCACTCGCGGCATCTACCTTGACGCCCCCTACACCAGTCGCAAGATCTTACGTCACGACAGCCGCAGACACAGCAACGGAATTACGTCATCGTCATCCTCTGTATCCATGACAGCGCAGGTTGTAGTTTTCTTTCCTGCACAAACACGCGATATTATGTTTGAATCGTGATGATTTGACATAGTTGAGATATTAACACACAAAATTACTGTTTATTGTATCCTCACGTGAAAGAAATAACAGTAATTTGATTGTTAGATCATGTACGTTTGTGAAACAAATATCCTTCACTTGCGGATATTCAGACGAGGGTCGTTGATGCTGATATTGCCTCTAAGAACAGACGCCTCACAGCAATATACTGACTCATTTATAGCGACGCGTGTTCAGGTTCTCACATCTAATCAAAGTCCCAACCACTACAACAAACCCACTGTACAATCAACCACGTGCGAGTGTAACAGGTGGTTGTCTATATCAATTAAAACATTCGTGCGCGTTCCTTTTATGTAACGGGTAGCAATTTAGTCCAGAACAGAGACCCGACTTGTTCCTCTGTGGGCAGGGTCACGGCTCGAGGGGTACATTAATAAAGATGTGATAAAAAATCAGAGAAAGGAGAAATAAACAAGCCACTCACAGCATGTACAGAGAATCCCGAGTAGATACACTGACTTCCCTACACGGTTCACGGCAAGGGGCACACTCTTCTCCTATCGTTTCTCCTATATTTACATATTAATATCTGTCAAAGTGTTTCGGGAAATCATAAAGCGACATGCCTATCCAGTACTGTGTCATCTATGACACCGCAATGTAGCCCGAATGTCCGCTGTGATGTTTATGAAGGTGTTCTGTTTTCATGGACTTAATCCCATTACCCTTTCACACAACGCTCTTGCTACTCGGTGGATGAAAATAAATAACTTACCGCAACGTCATGGCACTAGAAGACTCTGGAGAAGGTGTATTTAAAGCATGGTTGTAATATATGGCTTTAACTGGAGGGCTCGGGGCAATACGCCTCATATAAATCATAACTGTACGAATACAAACGTTTGAACCCTTGGCAAATTACGACCTTCTATTGTACATTTGACGGCGTATGCTCGTAAAAATAGTTTCAATGTAATTAACTGCACAAATTTCTTTTTCTTGTTAGATTGGTACACGTTATGTTTCCTTTGAGTCGTTTTTACCAAAATAAGACCCAAATTGTCCCTTTCAAAAATAATACAATGTAACAGATAAAAATCGAGACTTTCTTACAATAGTCAAGATACGATGTTTTTATCTTATAAAATGTGTATTACCTGGTACCCAGGTTATGTAAACATAGTTATTTTGATATAAAATCCGAGAAAGGAATAAAAATCCTATTTATAAGATCTGCGTAATTTATGTAAATGTACGAATATCAAATGAATGTTTTGATGCTTTGTATGTGAATGTCTTTGCCATTTAGGCCATGTAGTGAAGTTAAATATTATTTAAGCAGACATTTTCAGACAACTAAGCAGTAGTGTATTCATGATCCGAAAATAACTACAATCGGCCTTCTTTTGTAAAAGAAGGTTGAGAAGATTCTTAATATAAAATAATTAATTTGTTCTGGAATTAGTGGGTTTTTTCATTATTTTCGTCATCAAGATGAGAGCGCATGCTCGAATCTCCAGAAATGACGTCATGATAGAACACTGTTTTATCATGAAATAAACCTGGTTCTTCATTGTTCTTTGCGTTTTATCGCGTAGCCATGGCATGTACGGCTTCCATGGGTATTCACATATCATCATGGTTTAGTTTCAGCTATTAAAGCCAGAGGTCCGAACAGGATATCAGTACATTAACATTTACAAACGTAATACAAACACTCGATATCAATATTGATGATGTGACTTACATAGCGTCATGGCTTTAAATAGGTATTTTGATAGTTGTGCAATTGCATATTTGAATTTAGAAGATATAAGATTTACAAAATACTCAGTTGAAGGTTTAGTATGCTAATAATTAAGATGAATATGGATTTGTGTAAGGTCAGTAGAAGCAGGTATATGAGCAACAGCCTCCGTGGCCTAGTGGATCGAGTGTCTACCCGGAAAGCGAAAGGTCGGTGGTTCGATCCCCGATCGAGTCTTACCAAAAGACGTTAAGATATGGTACTTGTTGTTACCCTGCCCTCAGGGAATATGACAAGGACTGGCCGGCTCGGAGTTGGTACAGTGTGCTTGGGTAGGGTATCCATGTTAAACTGCAGCAATCTACCTCAGTAGCACCGTAACACACACACACACACACAAACACACACACACACAAACACACAAACACACACGCACGCACACACACACACGCACACACGCACACACACACACATGAACGTTGCTATATAATCTTGCTAATAACATTAAGATTGATAGTAAACCCATTTCATCTCCCCCACGACGACGGGCACACCTACCTACATCCTGCGAGCACCTGGCTGTGCACAAGGCAAAACAATCACAAGACAAAACGGGTTCAGTTTTCAAAATAAATCTTCAAGTTTGAAGACAGATTCTGTATAACTCTCAGTTCAACAGAAACTTAAACCAACATCTTATGACCGTTGGCATATAAACACATGGTCGTCCCTTTCAACTCATTACGTCTGTTGTACCCCTTAAACCTATAATGGTCTTAAGTCTACAATACTCATGAGAAGGACATACGTCTGCACCATCTGATAGGGACGTTCGCAAAGTTCTTGTGTTGGATTTGTGCTGCACGTGCCGTTTACAGACATTATCATTGATTATCATTGATTATCATTGATTATCTTTTTTCACTAACATCCTCCGAAACGGCTGAAGTTCAACTGATGTGAGAAAACCCGTTAAATATGATGGCGGATCAGTAATTTCAACAAAGGAAGACATAAACTGGGCAGAAGAAAGTAAACGGCTCGAAAATTGATCAAAACATTACAAACGCTATCAAAACGTTACCAGGCTGAAAACAGTCGCTCCAGCACTGCAAACATAACGTCCAAAACACATCACCATCGTATAACCATTTCACTGTTTGTTTCGTCTTTAGCCACCATCACACATGGGTGTATACTTTCTTTGTCTGGAAGTTTACAGGTAGAGGAACTAAGTTACTAAAAACAAGTACAAATCACAGATTTACAAACGGAAGAACCATGGCTAAGAAACCACACAATCTTTTTGTCGTGAAAGTATGACAAGACGTAGATACACGCTCATGTCATAAACTTTTTAAGAGAAAAGATAAATAGTAGTAGATGTCGCTTACTTTGATGTCGTATATGATGCTGCTGAGGTCGTTTGAGAAACCACAGGTTAACCGCAGGAAGACAACCCATATCTATGTTCCTGGCACCCACAGACACGGAGCGTGTGGGTAACCCGACCTGTCCCACCCCCAGACACACAGTGGCCGGGTATACGAGGAGACAATAGATAGATAGGGGGATTGTTGTGTCAACACGCGACCTCATTGCCGCGCAAGTACACCCTATATGTGTGTGTATAAGATCAAGATCCTCTCGACTGAAGGAGTTATCGGCCCTGATCTTCAAGAAGCTGGGCGTTGTGATGTTATATAACACGGGCGGGTGTATTCCGCTGATATATGAGACATTGTCCACAGCGAGAGGCTGGAGATTGACAAGTCGTCAAAATAGATTAAAAACTATTAAAAAACTATTGACGTACAAAACGTCAAGGCCAAAGCTGGCCAGTTTCGAGCACCCGCAGATTCTAACGGGCGAAAATTAACTGAATGAATCACTGAAAAAAACCTTTAAAACGAACATACTCTTTTACCAAATATCCCTTTGTCATTATTCTAACGCAGGTTGCCAAACATGTTTTTGTATAATGAATCGTGACCAACTGACACATCTCAAGTGAGTGAGTTTGTGAGTTGGGTTTGACGCCGCTTTGAACAGTATTCCAGTTATTTCACGGTGTGTCAGCTTAATGTGGGAGAAAAGCCCGAAGTGATGCAGGTCTCAGACGTTAAGCACTTTCGTAAAACCCACGAGCATGGGTATGGTGCTGACAAACAAACAATCGGGCCGAACCGAGATTTGAACTTAGATTTGAACCGGCGTGCCCAAGGGACTTAACTCTGCACAGCGTATTGTGGCGCCTCAGACGACTGGGCCACCCGTGCCCCCCACATATCTCAAGGGATAATGAGTTAGATGTAATGAACACGTGTTCCTCTTCAGTAAACCAAGGAAGTTAATCGCGGTCGATATGAGATTCGATTTCATGATCATACACGCAACTCTGCACAGTGAACTGCGGCGAAATGAATATCTTACCATTGAAATAGTACCCTGTCGTAACACCCAGTTTCCCCTCTCTTTACGTGACTGTAACAACACGTTTCCCCTCTCTTCACGTGGCTGTAACAACAATTTTCCCCTCTCTTCACGTGACTGAAATAACAAGTTTCTTCTCTCTTCACGTGACTGTAGCAAGTTTCCCCTCTCTTCACGTGACTATAATATGTTTCCCCCTCTTCACGTGACTGTAATATGTTTCCCCTCTCTTCACGTGACTGTAACAAGACGTTTCCCCTCTCTTCAATTGACTGTTACAAGTTTCCCCTCTCTTCAATTTACTGTAACAACTTCCCCTCTCTTCATGTGACTATAACAAGTTTCCCCTCTCTTCACGTGACTGTAACAAGTGTCCCCTCTCTTCACGTGACTGTAACAACTTCCCCTCTCTTCACGTGACTATAACAAGTTTCTCCTCTCTTCACGTGACTGTAACAAGTTTCCCCTCTCTTCACGTGACTATAACAAGTTTCCCCTCTCTTCACGTCACTGTAACAAGTTTCCCCTCTCTTCAGTTGACTGTAACAAGTGTCCCCTCTCTTCACGTGACTGTAACAAGTGCCCCCTCTCTCTTCAATTGACTGTAACAAGTTTCCCCTCTCTTCACGTGACTGTAACAAGTGTCCCCTCTCTTCGCGTGACTGTAACAAGTGTCCCCTCTCTTCAATTGACTGTAACAAGTTTCCCCTCTCTTCGCGTGACTGTAACAAGTGTCCCCTCTGTTCACGTGACTGTAACAAGTTTCCCCTCTCTTCACGTGACTGTAACACGTTTCCCCT